TCAACAGAAGGCGCATCACGAAACGGTAACAGCTCCACTTCGGCCCGAGCGCAGTCCACGACGGCGTGATGACGTGATAAGAAATCCCATCCTAGGATGACATCATGGGAACATGAAGCCAACACGTGAAATTCAATGGTGTACAACACGTCTAGAATAACCACTTTTGCTGTACATGCCGCGACGGGCTCAATTTGTTGGGCGCTCGCAGTGCTAAGAGAAACCACGGGAGAAAGCATCGTCACTTTACGAAGAAAGCGGCAGAGTCTTTGACTAATCACAGATATCGCGGCACCGGTATCGATAAGTGCAAGTGTTAGTACACCTTCGATGATTACATTGATAAGATTGGCGGGAGACAGGTGAGGACTTGAGCGATTAGACGATGACGCAGCTTGTGCCTCCGGAGCTGCGTCATTTAGTTTTCCGTCTCAATGGCGGTAGGTCGTCGACGCATAGGCGATACACAACGACGACTTGTTGAAGGGGAAGGCGAGCGGGAAGTAGAACGCAGAGAAGTGGAGGTTTGGGTGCCGGAAGCAGCTTGCGCGTCGCGTTCGTGAACTTCAGGTGGCATGTGCGGTGCGTGGTATGGAGGCCGAAACAAGTAGTCAGGGTATCTTGGTGCGTTAACTGCGAAGCGCCGACGACATAGACGTGCAACGTGGCCTGGAATTCCGCAAAAGTAACATATGGGCCGGTTGTCAGCAGTGCGCCAAGTATTTCCGGCGTGCTGCTGTGTAGCTGGAAACGGCGCGGTGGACGGTCGCACAGGTTGTGGCGTATACAATGGCAGACGAGGCGAAGGCGTTGCCGCGACGGCCGCATAAGTGGCGCGGCAACAGGTCTTGGTGGAGAAGCAGACGTAGGTAATGGCAACGCCTCGGAGAACTGCTCTTAAATAGCCTGGATGGTCGGCGTTAGGCGGTTCGTCGGTGGTCGGCAGATACGAGAAACACGAAAGCTGTCGTGCGACCTCTTCGCGTACATATTCTTTTATCTGCTCCAGCAGGGTGCTGTCGCCACCGACGGCCAGGGCAGCGAGAGAGTCGTCTGCTGTCGTCGACCTCCGAACTGATGCACGTTGTTTGCGATTCTCTTCCAAGCTCTGCCACAATGTCACAAGTTCGGATACGGTACTTAGGCCCTTCGCCAGCAACATTTGAAAGGCATCATCGTCTGTGCCTTTCATGATATGCCTGATCTTGTCCTTGTTCGGTCACTGTCAGGGTTAAAGCGCCGGCATAAATCGATAATATCTTCATATAGCTTGTGAAGCTTTCGCCCTGCCTTTGTGCACGTCCGCGTAGGCGCTGTTCAACACGCAGCTTGCGCACTATGGGACGATAAAACAGCTGCCAGGGTGATCTTGAAAGTGGCCCAAGAGGTAAATTCCGCACGGTGCTTTGTGAACCAAAGGCTGGCGACGTCTTTGAGATAAAATGGGCATACTCCAATTTCTATGGGTCGTCCCACTTGTTGGCAGCGCTCGCCTTTTCAAACAGATGCAACCAGTCTTCCACATCTTGGTCCTCGGTGCCGCTAAAGAAGGGGGGATCCCGTTGGCGCAGGGTGGTAGGCACGATGACCAGTCGAGATTGGTCCGTGCTTTGCTGGGTGGCGCCTTGCTCGGTCGTCTGATCAGACATTGCTGATGCAGTGGGCAGCTTCCGGCTTCGAAGTTCCAGGTTTGCGTACCCCGCACCTCCACCACTTTGCAAGGGAGTTTAATAGCGACACCAGGTAGTAGGCAGCAGGCAGCCGGTACGACACAAATGCTCGAGCAGCCCAGCGTTTACAGCTCGTGCACACGCTCGCGCTTCGCACTCAGAGATGGTCCCACTGGTTATTGCCTTGCGAATTCCCCACTACAATCATGTTATTTATAATGCGGGAATTTCAGTGTTTTAAGCTACTAGATATCAACGCTCTGTTGTTTAGAGCTCTCCCGGCCCAGATTTTCCTCTGCAGTTGAGTGTACTATATCTAGAGTCTGTTATACCAACTCTATATGTCCCGCACTGAACGTCGTGAGGTCATCAGTTTTCGGCGGCGTCTACAAACGCCTACGTATTTTCCAGTCGGTAAATTTGAATTACATTGTTTTCAAAGGATGCCAAAGACTTCACACAAAAGCTTTAGAAAACTTCAATGAACCAGTGTTGCCAAAGCGCGAAAATGCTCGGGCCCCTGTGCTTAGTGTGCTTATATAGTGGTGTAAGCCAACTAAGCACACGGGCTCTGAGCATCTTGCCTTCATCGAAAATGCGGCCGGGATTCGGTCCCGCGACCTGCTGAGCACGAGGCACTGAATATGTAGAAAATGTGTGCATCAAAATGCTATGTGTGCGTCAAAATATGAATTAAGGAGCTCATTCGCACACCAGTCACAAACTTGCTTTATGCCCTTCACTTCAACAGTACAAAAAAAAGTAGGGGAATTCTCCAAGGGGCTGTATTTCTGTATTATACACAACTAATGATACCGATAGGCTACTAAGCGAGAGAAAACATGGAATATACTATTTGTGGTTTTTTAACGTCATTGTAATAATTGTCACTCATGTTGAAAGAAACTAAAGTATATGAAAAATCACTCTTTCGGTCGATGGGATCCGAACCCACAACCTCTGAATTCTTACACCTTAGTTAGATATTCTACCGTTTGAGCTACCATGCGCGGTGCTCCTTCGTCCACTTTATTATTGTGACAGTCTCGGCTGGTTTGTGTTGCCGCCGCCGCCGTCATTGGTGGCGCGCCGTGCAATTCAAGATGGCTGCGGAAGGATGATCAACCCGTGAACCCGCATAAGAAAAGATAGGACGCACGGACGTACTCCCCGTGCCGCTATCAGCTGATGAACTCTTGATCATCAAATGAATGCATATCGAACCAAAGTGCTTTCCCAACCGATAGAAACTGCCGAAGACGCGAGCCCAAACGGACTACTTCGCGTAGTGCTACTACATGTGCACAAGCTCCGCCTCCGTAGCTTTCTCTTCAGTACCGAGAAAAGTTAACGCCGAGCCTCCTCTTTCTGCGGAGCGAATCGCCTTTCCGGTCGGGGTCGTCTGCGCGCGCGCTTATCTCGTGAACGAACAAAGGAGGGGGGGGGGGGGGGGGGCTTTTGCTCAGACAGCAGGTGGGAGCTTCTATGGGCTGCGCTTAACACGATGAAAACGGCGCTAAAAATAGTACCTGTAGCGGCCGTCAACATACAGATGCGCTCTACACATAACAAACTGCCACCAGCGGCTAAATACGACATATAGCCCTTAACCAGCAAGCACTGCCCACGAGTGGCACTTCAGTCAACGCCGTCACTATGCACGAGCCTTGTTGCGATCATCTACTGTGGCCGCATCGCAGAAAACTTGGCTACTTAGCAAGTGCATGTTTACTACAATTAATATTGTTCCTAAAAATACTAGCATTGCTTCGTAAAACATTCGAATATGTTGCTGTCACATTCATTGTCTTGCCTCTTTGGCAAAACTGACTTTCTATTTTATTTTTACGCTTTAATTTATTTCGAATTAGGTGAGAATTATTAGGAACACACTTATGAAAGTGCAAATAATGACCCTATGCTTTCATTACTTTCCCTTACTTAAGTTCCATTACTTTTGCATAGTTCACTACAATAGAGGAATACATTGCAGTGAAACATACCAACAGTGGCAAAAGCAGTAGTGCAGTGGAGTGTCCTGCTTGCATTACATTTCTAATATCAAATTATTAATGTATCAAACTATTCTGTGAAATTCTCCTTACACAACACATCTCAGTTAGTTTATCATTGTTCACAGACCTGGAAATTTTCTGGGCCAACAGTTATCCACCAGAGAGGGCTGGTCAGATAATCTTGAAACCCATTTCACAAGGTATTACTCCGGAAACTCAGGGAATATCGAGAGAAAACAAATGTAGGACATTTAAGTGCCTTGAAAACATATTTTCCATTGAGCTCAATGAAATCATGTTCAAGCCTTATTTTTGACTGCATCACTTATTCAAATTATAGCAACACTAGCACACATTAGCCAACTTTTGACCAATGCCAGATACATAATCAAACAATTGTCAATATTATGCACTTTTTAGCCAAGATATAGACGTTAAACTTCATTTGACCAACCTGCATGTTTGGAGTAACGACGACACTTGTAAAGGCATACCTTCTTTCTGCACCGACTGTATGGTATGAGAACTGCCTGTAGTAACTGCACTATCCTGCTTTTTTTTTGCCTAGTGCTCAACTGACAGTGCAACATGGTTACTTTTTAAGGCAACTGTACAACGTGATTACTATTTCAGGTTATTCTCTGACACACACTTTTGCCTGGAGACCTAGTCAAAGAATGCTTATGCGTGAATACTACACAGCATTACGAGTAGTCAATATGCTTCGAATGTACACCAACTACAATGCCACATGGATTCTGCTTGAAATTTTTCATTATGCGTTCAGGCCTTGGCACAGCGTAGCTGTTCTGTATCCATATGAGTGAGCGCAGTCATTAATTAAACTGCAGTCCCACGTAAAAGTGAGTGCATGTGCATATGCTAGTACCTCATGCTAGTGTTTTCAAATTAGATCTTATTTGAGAAATATGTTGATTGTGAAATGTGTGAATCATTGGCTGTTGTGTTTTACAGCATATGTGTGGCAGTACACATTTGGCCTATTTTATTTGTGCGCTAACTGCTTTTGTTACGCTTTTGTGCTTCGAGTTACACACACGCACTTTTTACTGTAGACAAAGAACACTTATGCACCATAATAAGTTGCAGTCGCATAATGCAAGCAAAACACAAACAATGAGGTGAAATCGAAGAAACTAAAGCATTAAAACGGGAGTGAGGGAGAGGTGATGACTGGGAAAGCCAGAAATCAAAGAGCCTGAACGTTCAGTTTGCTATCCTGGACTGGACAGAGGGAATTGAGGTGAAAAGACGACTGTGAGAAAAAGTTGGCACGAAATTATGACACGTACTGCTGCAGAGTGCTGAACATTTATTATACGTACAAGCAGTGTTGGAATTGCTTTGAACCAAGCTCATGAACCAAATTATCAAGAAAAGTCAACAGCTTACTCTTACAAATGTGAAACTCCTATAAACTTGAATTATCAGTGAGTCCTGCACTCGAAATGCAATGATAATTCATCTCCCCTCAGTTTTCTTTCAATTAGGTATTGAACTACACTAGTTAAATTAGAGAAGGACATGGCTGACATCCAGAGCGATACTGTGAAAGCAATGTGTCTATCAAGTAAAACAAGAGAAAGTACAATGAACTTGCATAGCTTGAAGACATAACACTGCATATACAATATGCAACAGCAACACTCGTGCTTATGGATGTCTTGAAGCATATATCACAGCAATAGTACTAATGTTCAGTCACACGTGCAGCAATATGTACTTCACAGTCACTGATGCTTATGGCATGATGTATATACATTACTTACAGTCACTTTTGCGAGCAGCGACAATGTGTAAAAAAGTTCCAGAATGTGCAAACTGCTCTTGACACATAGCAAATCACCTTATGCCTTTAAAGGCCGCACAAAAGGCACTGTGTCAGTTTGCTATTCTATGCATAAGCCTACTGAAATGGCTATTGATTGGTCGTTCGCCGACGTTTCTCACAAGGCACATTGTCGAACATCCAGTCATCATCACTCAAACCAAGTTCATCATCAGCAACAGTTCCTAAAGTGTGTTTTGTAGCCGATACCTGGGTAGATGGATTTACATTTGAACATGCGATGGTGGTGTGCAATGGGCAAACTTGCTTAACTCAGATGAACTTGTGGCATTTGTCGCTAAGTTGCTTGATGGTACCATCCCATTTGTAACAGCTTTAAAAAAGGTGCTGTGTGGTGACGCCTCGGGTGACTTCACGAGTGCAAACCTTTTTAACTTCTCTTGTGCACTACTGAATGGAGTGGTTGGACATTGCTTTAGTGCTTTCTCAGATGAGGTGAAGTCCTTTGCTTGCTCCTTCGGAACGCTAACATCACCCGTGGTTTTTCGCTGCACACAGTCAGCGACACTTTGCTGAGAAAACTGACTGTTGCTTCTCCGACTGAGTGTTGATTTGTCACCTTTACCAGAGTCCCCTGATAATATAGTGAGATGCTCTTCTCCTTGTTCCGAGGGCTGTCCCACATCACACAATTTGTTTCCAGCATGAGAGTTTGTGACAGGACAAGACTTCGTCTCATATGCCAAAGACTGATTTCTTGGCTTGCGAACAAAAGATTTAAGGAGCTTTGCAATGTCAACATCCTTATGAACATCATATTTCGGAGAGGCTCCACCTGTCTTTTTTGCAAATGGTACTGCACAATCCTGTGGTGCCCTCCTCCACCTGATGTGCCTTCAAACTACGCTTCTTTGTTTTCTGTGTTACACAACGTTCACGAAGTGAATTCCGACCACCAGTGCTACATTCATTGTCAAGATCTTCTAAGTCATCTTGATCAACACTTACTGCATTGCCCTGTGCTTTTTTGAAGTGTTCTGGCATTTTCCTGTTGTACTTTTTGACGCTTTTGGATCAATGTGAGATTCTGCAGATGCAACGCAACTAGAACTGCCCACACTTCATGTGTTTTAGATGCTTCAGTGATGTTGTGACCGTGGTTGCTCTCGACTACCCCTCTGTGATGAGTCATTGATATGCTCATCTATAACACGCTCACTTTGAGAATCACCACTAGGAGGCACCTTGGTAGCATGCACACGCTCACTGAAGCTCTTGTCTTTTAGTGTTACTTGGGAGTGATCTTTGGTCTTGGGAAATGGGCAACTCTTCTCATTGCAGCGACTTAGTTCATTTTTAAGGATGTCATCAAGACCAAGGCGAGTCAGAATAATTTTTGCTGAAAAAAAAAGAAGAAAGAAAGGTGTAGCAATGCAAGCAACTTCTTGTGCTGGCTCCATCATCACTCCTTGTTTGGCAATACTTCACATTGCTTATAGCCTCCATTAGCCGGTTAAATTATTTGTAGTAGTTATATGTATACGAATTGCTACACACAACACCAAGGTCTAAAAGTTTTCGGCGGCACATGGGATTCACAAATGGGCTACATTTATTTTGTCTAATTTCAACACCTCGCCATATGTTCATGTTTATACCCTGGAATGACAATACTAAGTCTTTCACATCACAGACTTTTGGAGATGATAGTAGATAAGGTAACGGCATGGAAGCCGAAACATGTATTTTCTACAACACCTTTTTGGTCAGTGCTTTTTGGTTTTGTTATTATTTATGCCATAAGGTATGGCACATAAGCTATAAGGTACATCAAATATGATGATAGTAAAAACATTTACCTTCAGAAACCTCATTACATTTAGTGAAAAATGCACAAAGATTTCAATCTCTTAGCCTTTGACCAAAGTCAAGACCCAAATAAAGTAAGACATGCTAAACTGCCCTGCAGAATTTCATGGTACATGGGATCCTTGACCAAATGTATTGCTAAAGAACCATGTACCCATGGTACAAAAAGCACAGATTGTGGCAATGAGTGATACTTCACCTTGATTTCGATATTCTTTTTCTGGGTCTACTGCAAATCCAGTGTGCAAAGCATCAACATTTTCCACAAGAGCGGAACTTTGCATGGACACCTCCATAAGTGCCACAGCAACCACTGCATCTTGGACAACAACTTCCTCTCGAAACATGAGCCTTGCATGACCTGTTGGCAGAATATGAATATCAAGTGCCATGAATAAAGTATAGAGTAAATATGAAACATTCCCAGATTGCACACCATAATCCACATCTTTAGGTTACAACTTATCATATTTAAAGAATGGTTCAAGAATAATACTGTTTCAGAGACATGCTTAAAAGTTATATGTATGACAGATGTGTATACATATACATTTTCTGAGTTACATTCAGAACATGATGTAAAGCATGCTTGGGATTTCACATCATACATGGCACTTGAGAAATCTCATTGTAAAGATCTCACAAGAACTATATTGTCAAGTCTCTGGGGAGATGCATTTAGAAATAAAAGTTGTTTTAATCTCTAGCCTAGGGCAATAAAATTATCGCTGCATATATAGGCTTTTATGCCGATTTCAATTATGTAATTATAGTACTGTAGTAAGTTGCACAGCTTAAGTTTTACGTCCATGATCATGTGTAACTAATAGTTCATTTTGGACAAACATTTTATGCCACTAACATTTATGATTTTCACCCATTAATGTCTCATATTGCTCTACTATACAACATGAATAATTACCAAGAAAGTGCATATAGGACATTTTATAGAACAAAAAAAAAATTGGAATGTGAGAATGCTTAAAATTCTGAGCCCATACTAACTGCTCACTTTAGGTTTGCAAGAACTATACAGGCAATATAAAGTTTTAAAGAAGATACTTGCACTCTTCGCATGTTAAGGAATATGTGGGCAAAATTTCATCACGACTGAGCTATCAGAAATACCAGAATCACGATGTCTAATTCAAGAAATTGCCCGCAATTCGGTCCTGGGAGAAGTGCATTTTAAAGATATCAGTGAAAGTTCATCTGTGCAGAAAAGATATGTTTTTTTTTTAAGATGATTTCTTCCTTCATGGGAGCTTGGCAATCATCGTTATTTTGAGCATGTGGCTTTAGCGAACTCCTCATGCAAAATTCAATGGCAAGGAGCTAGATGACAATTTCCAAAGGACTCTATACAATGAGCTCTCTTTAGTTTTTAGTAGCCACCTTGTGCTCTTTAAAAGCAATTTTAAACTTATTCGAGTTTAATTGCAATCTACAGTTTTTTGTTGTGAGAGTAGGGAAACTATATTTGTCAAAGCAAATAAAAACGAAAAATATGTAATTTTGGAAAAAAAAATGTTTTTTTGACTGGCATCTTTCTAAAAATGGGGTCATTATTTCTTAATGCACTATATTATATGTCCTTACATCTATGCTTATTCTTTAGTATTTCTCACTCGATAGAAAAATACTGCAAGTAGACTTTTCTACACTATAAGCGGCGACTTCACTGTTGAGCTGAGGGTAGACTCGCACACAGCAAGGATGTTATGAGGAAGACATGGTAGAAAGGAACACTGACATTCAGTTCATGTGCTCGTGTTTTATTTCCACTTCTAAGACCACCACACTGGATTGGTCAAACTAAATTTTTAGGGAAGCATGCTTGCCAGAATTCACACTGTGCACATATCTCACCGGAGTATGGCCACTAGCCTCAATCCCCATAAATTTCACACATTCCCTGTTGTAAGAATAGTTTTTTCACTTGTCAACAATGGTAGAGTATTTCACTTTTTCAAGTATTATAAACACTAAAAAACACATCAAAGAATAGTCTGATGGCTTCGTACCCTGTGACAGTCGAACTAGACTTTCTAGAAGTCGCAGCGTTGTCCTGGCAGCAACGCGCTGAGCTACACTCCTCTGACATCTGTAGTACTCTTGCAGAACTCTGTAGCAACAGTCAATGCATCAACAGTTAGCCATAGTAAGAGACATATTACATGAGAGCAACACGTTGAAATCATATTTTGTAACAAATAACTAGATCCCTACTAAACAGTAAACGACACTATAAGAGTACATATAACCGTGCTGAAGTAAAGTTAAAGCTTAAGCCGCAGTTCTAAAGGCAACGCACTTACAGCCTAGTGAAAAAATCAGCAGGACTAACTACCAATGCAGGAAAACAACATAGAGTTCTTGACAGATACACATTCTTCAGCTCTTTCACCTGTAGTAGTACAAAAAAATGCTAGCACTAATGAAGGCTCAGTGGGCAGATTGACATTATCTCTGCATTTGTTCAGCGTAAAAATATATTTCAATAAGAGACCAAACAATGGACAGAACAAAAGCTTGCAAGGAATCCACAATGAGCCAGGAAGCCAGCTGTGTCCATCCATTCAACATGTTTTTTTACACTCTGGCGGCATGGTGGGGGCTGAGGGTTTTCTTTTCAAAGGCTAGGAGACTGAAATTGCTGGCATGCATGCAAACTTATAGCCGATTTTGAACTGCTGTTCGCCTTGAGTTGAAGAAGTGAAACAGTCACTGAATCTGTTTTGTTTTCTTTCACGGTTAACTTGACGTATATTGAACCTATTTACCTTAGTTTAAAAATTCATTACATTTCATTATATTTAAGCTAGAAAGCTGGCATAATTCTAACTCATGTAGTACAATATGCAAATGCTATGAAAAGCCTTGCTGCATTTTGTGCTGTGCATTCACCAAATCTGTAAATTACAGCTAGGTATTAAAACACCAAAATAAGTGGTAAGAATGAGATTAAAGTTTGTTGCCGTGACAAAAAACCAAAGGAAGAAAGCATTATTACGGAAACTAAGCTCTTTCACTTAGCCTTAAACTTGATGAAGTCAACTCCATGCCACCAAACGTATAAATACATCTCTACCTTTGAGCGTCTTCAGTCAACCTGGGAGTGAAAGCTTTGATTGTCAAAAAGTAGGAGCGCATTCTGCTAATGGACCAAAACCCAGTGTCCTCCCGTTCTTCTGGAAAAAAAAAAACAGGAAACACAGGACACTTTGGATGATTAGCATGGTAATGCATTAGAACAGTGGTTCTCAGCCATGTAGGCTGGTGGAAATGATCGGGGACCCCTTGAAGTGTGTGGGGGGGGGGGGGGAGCGGTACGTAGGTAAATTAACACAACTGGAGCGTGAAACAGGTGCCTTTTATTTCTTCCAAAAGCATCAAACAAACATGCTACATCACTTCATTTTGGACCATTCATCAATACGGCACAGTCACGCTTAAAGAAAAATGCGGGTGAGGGTTTCGCGGATCATAGAAATGGCTTCGCGAACCCCCATTTGAGAACCACTGCATCAGAATATGTGTAGTACCAAAATATATCCTGCAGCATGCATAAAATAACACCAAACAGCATTAACATAGCCAGATGGGGAAGAGGGTTCTAAACCTCCCAAAATTTTTATATCTTGTACATACCACATATATGCTATACATGCACACATACAAACATAAACATGTATCAAACCCTTTCACAGAAGTGTTGTGCTATCATGTTATAAGAGGAGTCCCTACAGTAGGATTTGTATGAACCTAAACACAGTAGAAACTTGATTTTTAAAAGTGATAACCACACTCGGAAAGTTAAATCGGAAGGTTCATAAAATCATGAAAGTAATTTCTCAGTGCCTTGAAATCTAAAACTAACATAGCAAGAGCCAAAAGCTACCTAGGCATTGTTGGCATTGTTTTTGCTACCAACCCATATCTTTGCATGCAAAAAATTCACAAGTGTGTTTCAGACATGCAACCTTTCATGCTGCGCGGACGCCATAGGCACCATGCCTAGGCAATTCATGCCTAGGCAATTCATGCCAGTTAGACTGTCAAGTAAAGTCATGACAGATAGCAATATGCAAAGATGTAGAGAACGAATGCAGTGAATTAAAGGTCAAGCAATGAGATATATTGTAGCAAAACAGCCATTTGGAATAGTTGATGTTGATTCATTTTAATGCAAAAGTGGGGTGCCCCACAAAAAAAAATAAAAGAAGATAACATGTCATCATTCTCTTCTTTGGTCCCTGTTTTGTAGCGCACCCAATTTTTACACTTAATATGAATCAAGTCACAAAGTTGTGAGCAGATGACCAGTGCTACGAGTCCCATAAACAGTAAAATAACGAAAGAGAATTGCAGTAGGGTTGACAGGCAGGCTAGTTGGTACAAATTCATAATGGAATAATTGGAAGCGCAAACCAACGGGCACTTGTTTGTCTCTTCTCTTGTGTCCCGTTGGTTTGCGCTTCCAATTATTCCATTATGAACGAAAGAGAACACCATCACTTCGAGCAACATCTGGTACATAACAGCATTACCGACTACAAAGATTGTTTTGCGCATGGGCGCGGCGTGCAGCTTTGTTAAATAAGGCCAGGGTCATGATTATAGCATCTAGATACTATAACACGATAGCACGGGTGTGTACTCTTAAAGAAAAACTGATCTCTGTCAAAATTAGAAGGAATTATTCTTTCGATTTTTCAGGAAAACTCCACCAAATTGAATTTCGTGGCAGGGGCACTGCCAGCAGGGGGGAGGGGGAGAGGAGGGCGCTGGAGCCTTCCCCCTCTATCATTTCGCCTGCCCCCCAGAGCAAACATAGTGAAAAGAGATTGCATGAGTTACCCGAGTTCCTGTACTCCCCCCCCCCCCCTGAACTCACTCGTTATGGGTGACCCTCCTTCAAAAATTCCTGATGCTGTCACTGTTTGGTGGCCAAGTTAGTTTGTTATTTTGGTTGAATGATGACAATAAACCCTATGGGTATTTTTCACAGAATAGAATTTTTTTCTGTATTGCAAACTTTGTAAAAGCAAGTTTCATTAAATCTCGTTTTCTTTATACCTGCAAGCAGCCAATAAGCATGCTGCCTTTTATATAGCGACAACTGACTGTCCTCCAGAAACAGCAGATATGGTGCTCTGTCTAGCCATTGCATAATTGAAAAATGTCCTGTGTAATTGCTCGTGAAAGGGAGTAGCAGTAATGTAAATAAACAAATAAATAAATATCACTGTGGGCCAACGAGATAGCCATTGAATTTCTTTTTTTTCTTGTCTCTCTGTGGTACAGAACATTAAGTTGAACCAAACTTCTATTGACATTAAACATTTCAATGTGTGGCTAAAATTTGAAGAAAAGGTTTTCACAGGACACCTTAACATTGTCATGGTAATCAATACTCCATATAACATTCATATAGTAGCATTGTAGTGCATTCGTACTGCACTTTTGCAGCGTGAATGTATGTGCCATGGCCAAAGCAACTTTGCAGTAAAAAAAAATTCCGCCATATCCACGAAGTGAATGATGATGAGTGGGCGAAGCTCCGGAAGTAAACCTGGTAAACCATAAATCCTCTGTACATTTTGCCCACTCGATTTTTATTACATCGTTCCCCCTAGCGTACGTCGCCGCACTAAATCGAACGATTGCCTTCAACCAATGACACGTGCCATATGTGACATCATTCCTATTTTATAAGATCTCGCGTCTTTCATCAACTACAAGTACCGCTTTCTAGTTTATAACATCTTGCATCTTTTCATCATCAGCTACAAGTACCACCATCTAGTAAACACTACAAGAACTAAACGAGAGGTGGCTACATACAGGAGACGGTACCGCCATCTAGTGAACACTGCAAGAACTAAACTAGAGGTGGCTACATACAGGGGACGGTACCACCATCTAGTGAACACTGCAAGAACTAAACTAGAGGTGGCTACATACAGGCTACAGGGGACGCACAGCCCACGCCCTAAGGAGCTTCGCCCCTAAAAAATATGCTGGATCACATAATTTTAACAAACCATACTTTTAGTAACTTCTGCATGTATTCATTTTGCACAGGTCGACACTTTTGTCCGTTCAAACACTTTCCTTGAGGTACCAAAGGAACCCCAGGTGCACCCCAACATATAGAATGTGCGCTCTTTTATTCACCATATTGGCCCTATGAAATTGTTGTTTCTGCTTACCCAATGGATTTTGCCCGAGGAGGATAAATTTGGAGACCAAACGATCCCAATCTTGATGATGAGAATCCTTTAAGACAAGAACCAAGTCAAACCGACTTAGAAGAGGACTGGCAATGCCAGTGTTCACGTCCAGTTCCTGCAAAAGGACATGGAGTTAGCTTGGTGCATTTTTCACCACCTACAGATCCAGTATTACACACCACAGTAGTCTAGTGGCAAAGGCACTCGGCTGCTGACCCTCAGGTCACAGGATCGAATCCCGGCCACGGCGGCAGCATTTTAAATGGTGGCGAAAATGCTTGGCCTGTGTGCTGAGATTTAGATGCACTATAAAGAACCCCAGGTACTCCAAATTTCTGGAGCCCTCCACTATGGCGTATCTCATAATCGTATGGTGGTTTTGGAACTTTAAACCCCAACAAGTATTATCATTATGGATCCAGTATTGCAGTTACACTGTGGCTCTACCTTGCGAACTCCTGTAGCGACCTCCAATGTCATGGTGCCTGACATCACTACTGTAGACTAATATAACCAAGAGTCTCAACTGTAAAGATTTTCTTTTTCCCCACGGTCTGACTGCTTTTGCTTACATCTGCATAACGCAGCTATAATCGGTTACAACTCTAGAAGGCAGCATCATTCTGAACTCAAAAGAAGATGAACACATGCCTGCACCAACGGGCACGTTGTCCAGAATAAGTTGAATGGTTGGTGACTGTGTAAGAGAACATCGCTGAGTACATGCACAGTACTAATTGTAGTCACAGAGGTCATCGGCTGCCACGCTTGGGTCATCTGGGCATGGACTCTCCTGCATTCTCAAATTGTATGAGAAAGTCTATCATTTTAACAGTAAAGCTGTTCTAAGACGACCCTCTGCCGTCCAGCATCATGCAGGAGCAGAGCCTGGTTGCGTGCTGGAGAAGAGGGAAGAGAAGGGTATCACACAGCAGCACAGCAGCTGTGCCACGCAGGTCGCTCGATAAAAGTGCCATGGAAGGAGCAGACCAATCAGAGAGCCCACTGGGAGAGGGCAAGGACTACACAAGGCTCAAGTGACTACGTCAAAGTGCAGCGAACCCAGTGTTTCGCGAGCAGGAAGCGCAAGCCGAGCCGCAATGAATGAACGATGCTAACACCACGGTTCGAGAGAAAGGAAGCACAAATGAAACGAACTCAACCACAGCAAAACATGCAAGAACCACAGTTAAACAGGAAACAATACCATGAATCACAGCAAAACACAGGAACAAAACAACAAGAATCGAGGAACGACCACAGCTCTGCTGTTTCCTTAGTTTCCTTCTGCGTGGAACTGGTTGAAGATATTGTTCCGATTATTTGCGCTTCCCAGCAGCTGTAGCAGTGGCTTCGTATTTGGGTGTCTCCAATTTATTTTGTTCAATAATACAGGTTCCAAAATTCGTTTTGCTTCTTTTCTGTGCTACATTTAGTTAGTTTTTATTATTCTAAGGAAGTGGCCAATGCGGAGGTACAATTTGGATACCAATTCCATGCAAGAGAGCATGTCACACAAGATTGCTTGTCTTGCCATTTGACTTTTCATCAACATTTCCTTCAGTGACATGCAAGCTAGTAAGAGCAGCTTTCCTTACCCCATCTGCTGAGCACGATCCCTTGGGGTTTGTCGCCGCCAGCACGGAGCATCTTGTGCTTAACTTGGTCACCAGGCCTGCCTGTGACATAAGATGTCAAGGCAAGATTAAACAAGCAAAGAACAATGCGAGAGCAGAAACAAGGAAAACTGCTAGTTTCACTTGAGTGGAGCATCAAAAGCAACGGCAAAATTTAGTGTGACACTCAAGTCCCTCGCTGAGTATTCTAACATCATGCAGAGGCCAAGCGGCACAAGCATCGTATGCAAGAAGAGCCTCTATGTGACAGAAACAATGCCCTGGCTCAAACCATGAGTGTCACACTGCTGCCACAATGAGGAATGCCGGCAATAATATTACAGCGGTACATGAAATTAGATGGACAGAAAACATTTGCTGTTTTTCAGTGTCCAATGAGAGATTCAGATAAACTTGACTAGACATTTGTTCGACACCAGTAACGAACAATTAAGCCAGGAAAAGCACAAGGGACATTGTTTGTGTGTTTTTAATCACGGTGAAATGATTATGACATAAACTGAGGAAAAATAAACAGGACTGAAAAGTACCCTTTCTATTGGTTGTACCTGAACGCACAAGTCTGATGTGGTACCAATAGAACAACGACAGAGGGTGATCCCACATCTACTTATTTTGGTAGTATTTATGTGCATTTTATCCCTGCGAGTGTTAGCAAGCGCCACTCATCGGCACAGTAGCAAGTGCAGCATACTCTTTTTTCCAAGGGGTCACATGGTATGTGATCTTTGCATGCGATGGCAGCAAACCAATAAACCTTCGCATGCTACCTAAGGCATCAAGTCTCCTAGGATGAAGCACTCACTATTAAAGTATAAAACAAGGGAAAGTGTTTGAGTGGTTCACTTCTTTGTTAGGCACAACCAATTAAACCAACCAGCAATTAAGCCAAAGAAAGCATACGGCACATTATTTATAATTTTATCTGTAATATAATTATTATGACTTTTTGTCAAAATAGGCCACTCTGGTAAATTAAATCTGCAATAAATAAAATCTAACCGGTACGGTCATGTGTGACCAAAAATGTTGACCGTCAAGGGGTCGAAAATGTCTGTTACTCAATCAATGTCTGAACTTCATTACAAGCCCGAGTGATATCGCGTGCAACAAAGAAAAAAAGGTTAGCACACCTTTGCGACACTAATTGTCTGCTGTTCCATAGCCTCGTGGATGCTGCCACGGTCATGTTCTCGAATGCTGTTGAACTCATCGATGCAACAGATGCCTCCATCTGCTAGAACCAAAGCACCAGCCTCCAGCTGCCATTCTCCACCATCCTGCATGGTTAAATAGAGTGCTGACACAAAATCTTTACGTCTTTTACAGTGTACTTGTATACTTTTCGCTGGTCAGAGAATTCCGTGGCTTAAACACAAAATGCCAGGTTGAGGTGTGTAGTGTACACTTATCCCGAAGGAGTACGGCCACTAGCGTGGGTCCGATTTTAGCGAGCTGCAGGGCACGCGTTAACCGTCGCCATGGCGAGAACACAGTACTGCTCAAGGTTGCAACACTTCATTACCTGCGGCAACACCAAAAACGCAGTACAGAGCCCGTTGCAAAAGGGGCGGCGGGAAAGCAAATGGGCTTATCCACTGCCACGGGCGAGAAGTACTACACAGGGTGCCGCTTTCACGGTGACACCGAGACGACAGGGCCCAGTTCGCTCAAGCAAGGCTAAAACTCCGCTCGTGTTGGCTTCGAGAGATACAGGTTGGCGTAGTACAACCTCGCGCGAAGACACTGCACCGCTCTTCGGCCTAGGCGTTCGAAAGAGGCAACAAAAGGTGAGCGTTCGCCGCGGGCGCAAGGCGCCGTTGGTGAAGTCCAACAAGCCCCAAACAATAGGAGCCGACGACCAGAAAAGAAATTCGTGCTCACCCTAACCCGGAAAGATCTGACTCACTCCCGACGCGCGCGCAAGATGTCCTGAGAGACTCCGCGCACGGCGCCACAGTCGAAATCCGCTATGGGTAACAGGGGTTAATGTTCACTCCCCACTCCGACAGACTGCGGAAGAGGGGAGAGTCATGTCAGGACATGAGAACGACAGAAATAGGCGGCAAAGCCCGCGCAATGGCAGCGGGCTAGCCTTAATTCCCACAGGTGCCCTAAACTACCAACAGACACTTGCGTGCTCTTTTGCTAAAGGATGCACGCGTTCCTTGCATTTTCTTCTTAAACACTGAGAAAGGGCATTTGCATAAGTGGGCAGACAAGTCAAAGAACACATTTCCTGTAAACTCATGCACATATCTATCAGCAGAACCGAATTTCAACCTCTCTGTGGACTAGGGGCCATTTAACAATTCAAGGCAAACGGCGTGTCTTTCTTTGCAATCAGTTATACAGCATTGAGCTCAGTATTCATTTCAATAAAGCAAACTACAAAACAAGCATGAAAATTGTATCATGGATGTCAAGGTGCCTGTGATGAACGGGAACACCCTCCCACGCATTCCCATAAAAGTTAGGTCACATGAGCCCTGTCTTCTCCCTGCATGTTTCCCACTTTCATACGTAAAAGGGTATTTGTCTAGCAACTCATTCAAATGCAGGACGCCGTGGTTAGACTGAAGGAATTAAAACACCTAAAGAACAGTGTGAATACAATACTCAACATGAAGACCAAATTGGTCATGGAAGCAATGAAAATCTATTACTTAGACCACAAAGCGATTGTCACTACTGCTCTTTATATATGTGGTGTTCAATACAGCTCCGCTGGACATTCTGGTTGGCGAGGAAGGATAGCAGTAAACTTTTTTTTCTTTTCTGCTGCAGTAAGTAGCGAATGATTTACTTATTATGGCTAGAAACTTTGTTGGCTTGAGCTTACAACAGTTAATTCTATATAGACGTTTTTATAATCGCTAGTCACAGTTTTAGTTTCAGAGAGCACAGAGAGGCAGCATTAGGTTGGATTTTTTGCAAACACAGTTGGTCACATGACCACGGTGAACAGTGACGTGCACTGCACATGGCAAATTGATCATGCGAGCCCTGCATTGACTCCTAAAGCAGATGCAAGGAGCACTCAAGGGTTTTCAAGGACCTTTATGGGCCCTGTTGTGGTAGGAACACCAAACACTTGAAGAAAATACTACTTTCTTTTACAATGTCCAGCATTTTTTAATCTCAATTTATCCATTTTTCAGTTCTATCTTCTCGTTTCTCAACAAAGGCTTCTAGTATTATTCTATTTCCATGCAGTGTGCCCCAATAACATTCAATCTGGTGCTTCAGACATGCACCCGCAAAAAGCATTTTACATGCCGTGATAAACAAACTTTCAAAGCAATTGTTACTGGCTTCTTGCAGCACAGAAAATGATGGCTGATATGATACCTGGTGCTAGGATTTGACCAGTTTACTGTCACGGTCAGCTTAGCACCTTCCCCCAGTCATATCCAGCACTGTGTGCTAGTGCTATCGGTACTATGTGCTGTACTATGTACTACAGTGCTATCTGTACTATGTGTACTAGTTGTTTTACCAAATGCGGAGGAACAACTAATACACATTTTTTCCGACTCACCTTGATTGCAGCTGCAGTAAGACCAGCGCTGGTGCTTCCAATGCCCGTTGTCAAGACCGAACGAGCACTCATTTTGGCTGCATATTTCAGAAACTGAGACTTGGCTGTACCTGTTTATGTAGACAGAGATGCTTTTATAAGAAAAGATAGAGGTGTGTCATTAAGCTTTGAAAAATAAGTATATTCAGAGAACTACCATGTTTTATTATGTCTGTTCGTATAAGTTGGGAAAGCAAGGTAGCCGGCATACCACATTTCGAATTCTTCGCAGTGCTTTACATAACAAGATATTCCATTAAAGTGTGCATCACACATCCTGTTAGTGAAGAATAACAAACATTCCGAGCTAACGCTCTCCTGCTTATGTACTACAGATCATTCCACCGTAACCACACAATATTTATGGGTGTAAAAAACACTGAAGCATGCAAATGCAAAAAATGTTGGCAAACTGAAACTTTCATACAACGGCTTTATATGATCTGGAGAACATAGCAGAACATGAACAAACAACTGCTACTTATGGTTATGAATGCAAGATATAGTCTCTTTAACATGCCCCAAGATTTTAAACAACAAAAACATCAATAGTGCCAACGCAATGTGTAAAGCACCTGGAAATCTGGCAATAACTTAAAAGGAATAAAATAGCACATACACAACACTAATACTACTACTGTTACTACCACTACTACTACTACTACTACTACTACTACTACTACTATAGAGAAATGATTGGTCAAGACATGTAAATAAATAACTGTGCCTCATATATCATCATTGTAAACATAAGGCATATGTACATAGGTACTGCACGAAAAGACATGCACTTTTTCAAGCAAAATTCTAAGCTTCCTGGAGCTTTCACTGAATTTCATATTGGCACCGATACTCTGATTAATGTAAAATGTCATTCGCAACATTGACAAAATGTGGGCCCCTTGAGGATATGCTGGAGCAATGCTAGGTTTAGATTTCTTAATGCTCATTAATACAGTATTATTGAAACGACTTGCCTGGATCCCCAACAAGGAGCAAATGAGATTCACCACGAATTCGAGTTCCACTTGTATCACAATGCTGTAATTACAAGTGTAGAAATATGTTATTTGAGCCATTATTTCAGAAAGTTAGAATTTTCATGCATGAAAGTGATATGTGTACAATAAATTGAAGCATCTGTCAGACTATAAAATGAAGGCACAAATAGCTTCCATTCAATGTCTGTTAAGAGCAGAGCTCTTAAAGCTTTTTGCTATGCCCGGTGAACGGAAACTATCATCATCACGGATCACAGCACAAGCTCTTTTTGTCCTCTTCTTCCTCTCTTGCATCACTATTGAACACATGCACAGATTTCTTCGGCATGGCCTTTAATAATAGTGATGGGTCAGAGCCTCAGAGGAGAGAATGAGTACAGAGAGAGAAAAGAACGATATAAAGAAAGAGAAAATTTTGGCAAAAGAAAAACTTCCCATGAGGTGGCGAGATCAGCACCCAAGTAGCCACGATCTAAAGGTGAGTGTGTTAGACACTCGTAGCCCATAACAAGAGCTAACAACGCTGCTATCGTAGCTGTACCTCAAGAGATGCTGTACAACATGTCATTCTATACTGCAGACAGTTGATGTTCCCATTTACACCAAGTAAATCTGTGCATGCATGCTGCTGGGCTTTTTTGTTTTCCTTTCTTTGTGTGTGAGTGCCTGCATTTGCATCTGTGTATGTGCACAACTGCCACGAACTGTTGGCCACCGCTAAACAAGCGCTGCCATGTCTACGCTGCGCGCGCCTTCTATCTTATCTCCCTCTTCCCCTTCCCTACCTTTCGTTCTTATAAAAACCCAAGCCGGACAATAAACGCTCGCTTTTTGCCCTGGCCACTCTGTTCGTGCAGTTCGGGGCGCGGCCCAGCCGCGGGGCCGGTTATAACAGTGGCGACGAGTATTCAACTAAGAACGAGACCCAGCTGCTTCCTGAAGGCGGGCAAGCAGCCACCCCATCGACAGGCATGAGTCACCGCCTCCCGGAATTCAACGACGACACAGATAAGTGGCAAGCGTACCTCGTGAAGGTTGAGGCATATTTTGAAGCAAGCGAAGTCACTGACGATGCTAGGAAAAGAGCTCTGTTGGTAGCCGCACTTGGGTCGCGAACGATTGATGTGCTATGCGGTAGAGTGGCACCGCAGAAGCCAAACGCACTCGGCTACGATGCGGTAGTGAAAGTTCTAAGCGAGTATTATGACCCACGACCAAACGAAATTTCAGAAAGCTTCAAGTTTTTCCACCGAAACCAGCAGGAAGGAGAGTCTGTTCACGCATTCATTGTGTAAATACGGCGCCTAGCGCATAACTGCAACTTCTCGTCCATGCTGGATAGGATGTTAAGGGACCGTATCGTGTGCGGGGTACGTTCAAGAAATTTGCAAAAGCAGCTGCTCGCGAAACCTGAGTTGACGTTACAAGAAGCAGAGGCACTTGCGTTGGCGGCAGAAAGTGCAGAGTTAGATGCGGAGAACATAAATCGAGAAACGCCCCCGGTAACAGTGTCGGCAATGAAGGAGCAACGCTGGGTGCCGCGAGGCCAGAAGAAAAACGAAGGCGGAAAGCCATGCGAGTGCTGCGGAAAGCGTAATCATAAGCGCGCGACCTGTTCAATGCGTGGGAGGCACTGTTACAAATGTGGAAAACAAGGGCACTTGGCACGCATGTGCCAAAGGATCGACAACGCGTTGAATGTAACAGCCCAAGCCAACGACAGTGATAGCAGCGCGTCGCAACTTTGGTCCGTAACTTCGAAGAATTCATTGGTGCCACCGATTCAGGAAACGTTCCAAGGAACGGCGTAAAGCTGAACATGGACGTTGATACCGGCTCGCCCGTATGCGTCATTCCTAGAGCAACCTACAAAGCCCACCGTCATCAATGGCCGAAGTCGCAGGAGCCGAAGATAAAGCTGGCGTGCTATTTGGGAAAGCTACCCGTACTCGGAGTACTGTCAATGCGTGTATGCCACAAATCGGCGGAGGTTGATTGTAACCTAATCGTCTTGGACTGCGAAGGTCCTCTCCTGTGCGGTCGTGATTTGCTGCAGAAACTACAAGAGCAGGGCGCAGCAGTACTCCACGTAGCTGCGCCACCACTCGGGTCGAGCCCGAAGTCTCCGCCCGCGCCTGCTGTGTTGGACCGCTACTCCGACCTGTGCACGGAGGGCGTAGGACTCATGAAAGGCCCACCGGTGCGCCTTCACATCAAGCCTGGAGTGACGCCAAAGTTCTTCAAGGCAAGAAAGGTACCCTACGCTCTGTTGGATAAAGTTTCAGAGGCATTAGATCGACTTGTGGCAGCTTGCATTATATCACCAGTGACGCACTCGGAATGGGCTACGCCCATTGTTCCAGTCTTAAAGAAAGACGGCACAGTTCGCATTTGCGGTGACTTCAAGATTACTTTGAACTTAGTATGCGAGCTGGAACAATACCCGCTGCCTCTTATCGAGGATATTTTTGCGCAATTAGGTGGGGGGGAGCGGTTCAGCATTTTGGATTTGCGCGACGCCTACAACCGGATCCCGCTAGACGAAGAGTCTCGCAAATTGGCCGTGATAAACACCCACAAGGGCCTCTTTTGCTTCAACCGCCTCCCGTTTAGGATTGCTTCGGCACCGGCGATATTTCAAAGGCGGATTGAATCAATCCTACAGAGCTTGCCTGGGATGCAAGCGTACCTAGATGACGTGTTGATAGCGGAAGAGGGTGACAGCCAAAACCGCAATCTGATGGCTGTGCTCGAGCGCTTCCGTGAACATGGCATTAAGCTTCGTGCTGATAAGTGCCGCGTTAGCGAGCCCTCTGTTACATATCTAGGTCACCGTATTGACGCGAACGGACTGCATCCCATGGAAAAGAACGTGGATGCTATCAGGCTAGATCCCTCTCCACAGAACGTCTGCGAGCTACGCTCATTTCTGGGCATGGTAACCTTTTATAACAAGTTTATGCCCGACTTGTCTACCATTCTAGCACCGTTGTACTAACTGCTGAAAAAGGGCGCTAAGTGGACGTGGAGCACCAAAGAAAAGAAAGCCTTTGTCCAGGTGAAAAATGCGTTGTGCGCGGCACCCATACTCACTCATTTTGAGCCGCACCGTGAGCTCTTCTTGGAGTGTGATGCGTCCCCATACGGAGTTGGTGCTGCACTTTTTCATCACACCGAAGGCGAGAAGCGACCCGTAGGCTTTCGATCGAGAACGCTCACAACTGCCAAAAGAAAGTACTCTCAGATAGAGCGCGAGACGTTAGCCTTGATATTTGGTGTTACTAGAGAGAGAGATAAAGATACAAGGAAAGGCAGGGAGGTTGGTGTTACTAGGTTTAGGGACTACCTGTTGGGGCGAGAGTTCACTCTGGTTACGGATCACCAGCCGTTGCTGGGCCTGTTAAGGCACGACCGTCAGACCCCCGTCATGGCGGCAGCCAGAATACAAAAATGGGTGCTACTACTTGGTGCATACAAGTATAAACTGCAGTACAAGCCGGGAAAATTTATGCTCAACGCGGATGCATTAAGCCGGTTACCCCAATCTCTTGAACAGGAGCTGCAGGACGACGAGGATGCGGCCGAGTACGTCCTCGTCGTGGACCAGTGGGACGAGCTGGCGGTGCCCATGAAAGAGCTTCAAGCCCTCACGCAGTCAGACGGTGTACTGTCAAGTGTGTGCAGGTACGTCATCCAAGGTTGGCCACAACGCACTGCGGAGGAAGGTACAGAGATGCAGGAGTATCACAAAAGGCGGAACGAGCTGTCCGTGCAGCATAACTTGCTTCACTGGGGTCATCGTGTTGTGGTTCCGGCGGAAGCCAGGAAGAAGCTACTGAAGTTATTACATGGAGCTCATCAAGGAGTTTCTGCAATGAAGGCAGTTGCACGGTCAAAATTTTGGTGGCCTGGCTTGGACCACGATATTGAGCGCTTAGCCGCTGTGTGTCAGCACTGCGTACAGGCATTGCCCATGCCACCCGCGCAAGCACCCATTCGCTGGCCAGAGACGCAGGAAAGATGGTCGCGACTGCATGTCGACTTCACGGGTCCGATCCAAAACAAGATGCTTCTTGTCGTCGTGGACTCTCACAGTAAACCGATTGAGGCCATTCCCCTGGCTCACGCGACCTCGCGCAACACAGTCGATGCCCTGCGAACGCTGTTCAGTAGATTCGGTCTGCCACACACAGTAGTGTCTGATAATGGCACGCCATTCACCGGATGGGAGTTCAACGAGTTCTTGCAACAGAACGGGGTAGTTCACGTGCGGGCACCCCCCTACCATCCACAGAGTAATGGACTCGCCGAACGTGCGGTGCGAACCATCAAAGACGGACTAAAGAAGTGTGGGGACGCAGACTTGTCAAAGACGCTGGCTAGAACACTGTGCCGCTATAGAAACACGCCGCTTCCGTCCGGGCGCTCACCATCAGAAATGTTGTTGGGTTACCAGCTCCGCACCCGATTAGACATGTGTTTTCCTCCCAGGAGCCGAGCAACAGGGGATGTCCACTCTGCTGACAGCGCCGGGCGGAACTTCGCACCGGGAGATCCTGCGTACCTTCGCAGTTACGGCCGTGGCGACAAGTGGACACCTGGGAAGGTCCGGTCAACCTCTGGTGCACGCATCGTGTCTGTCGACACGGAGAACGGGCTTGTTCACCAGCACATGGACCAGCTCAGGTGGAGAAGCATCGAAGAACCGTCGAGTCCAGAGGCTCTCACTAGCCCCCAGATAAGCCCAGACCCTCCAGTACAAGACTGCGAAGCTCCAACGGCTACTGGCCCCGGTCTTCCGGGCCACCCGCCCCCAGAGCTAAGACGTTCCACACGTATCAAGAAGCCAGTGGAGCGTTATGGATTCTAAGGAAGAAGGAATGCCACGAACTGCTGGCCACCGCTAAACAAGCGCTGCCAGTCTACGCTGCACGCGCCTTCTATCTTATCTCCCTCTTCCCCTTCCCTTACCTTTCGTTCTTATAAAAACCCAAGCCGGACAGTAAACGCTCGCTTTTTGCCCTGGCCACTCTGTTCGTGCATTTCGGGGCGCGGCCCAGCCGCGGGGCCGGTTATAACAACAACAAATAACAACACTCCCTATTTTCAAAGGACTACATGTACAAAATAAAATATTGTGTCCTGATCATTGTAAACTATGTGCTCATGACTAAGAAGGGTAGCGACTTGGTCTAGCGGTCGTGGCACTGGCATTGCACGATCTTGGTGAGGGCATGCTCATGAGCATTTGCAAAGCACACACACATAGAACATGGGCAAATAAATGCATGTGTGCATGTTTCAAAGAAGGTACAGTCGGCCAAATCTTAAGCTATCGTGCATGAGTGGCAGTTTTTTCTGTGTATCTTTGCCCTACGACTGTATTAAGTTTTAAAAAAGGTGAAGACAAGTGTATGCCCACAAAGCAGATGTCCACGAAACAATTTTTTTGAAACTTCATTCTATAATAAGATGCTGAGAGACAAAAAGATGACCGTCGCACACAATAAAGTTTTGGCCGACTGTACAAGTCACTCAGATGCTAACACGATATTGTGTCTGCCACTTTAATGAGTATTCTAGCACATAACCAGCCTAATCACTTCTTTTTTACACCAGATGTTAAGTAACATAGAGCAACTCTTGGAAATAAAAATGGCAATACTTTTTACTGCCATCTCTTCACAACAGTTCTTCAACTACCCGCATGCACACAACCACTAAACAAAGTTGTATTTCTTTTTTTATTTACTTTCTACAAAGAGTGCCAAAAGCTTCTACTTTGTATTCCATTAGGCATAATTATATAGCGTAAAGCAACAAAATTAGCAAGACACCAGAGAGGGTCAAGCACTATGATAGGCAACCCATCCTCCTCCCCTCAGTTTTAGGCAGAAGTGTATTAACCAATAAGGAAAAGAAATATGTAGTAGTTATCATCACATTCTGACAAAAAAGAAATGGGCTTGTAAGGAAAGTGTGACCCACCCGAACACCTCCAGCAAGAATAAGTGCAACAGCCAGCTTGACGAGGTAGAGGCCATACACCTGAGGGCATACGCTCGCCAGGATGAGGTCTCTTCCAACCAGTGGATGATCACCATGCTCATCCCAGAACTCTCTGAACTCTTTCTTCTGCATGGAACAAACAAGGATGTTACACGCTGTCCTTCTTATGACAAGCCCGAAAATTAGATCGCAACTGTCGTGTACAGCAAAGCTTTTGTAGCAAACAAACTTGTAGATTCATGAAGATTCAAGATGAACACTTGTAGCTGTGGAAATTGAGGCTAGCCCACCGCCTTTGCGCGGGCTTTGCCGCTTTTTCTGCTGTTCTCATGTCCCGACATGACTCCCCTCCTCTGCTGTCTGCCGCTCTGGGAAAGCGAGGAGTGACGCTTAACCCCTCTCACCCGGTAGCGGATGTAGACTGTGGCGCCGCGCGCGGGGTCTCTCGGGACGCGCGTCGGGAGTGAGCCAGATTTCTCCAGGACTGCTGAGGGTGAGCACGCATTCCCTTTTCTTTCCGTCGACTCCCACTGTTTGTGGCTCGTCGGACTTCGCTGTCGGCGCCTTGCGCCCGAGGCGAGCACTCATCTTTTTTTGCCTCTTTGCGTACGCTAGGCCGACGAGCGGTACGGTGTCCTAGAGCATGTTCAAACTGCGCCGACCCGTATCTCTCCAAAGCCAATGCGAGCACCTTTGCCCTCGCTCGAGCAACCATACCTTGGTCCCGGTGTCTCCGTGAATTACTTTTACCACTGAGACATGCTCGTGGCACCCTGCATAGTACTTCTCACACGTGGCGTGGATAAGCCCATTTGCTTTCCACCGCGCCTTTGTAATGGGCTCTGTATTGTGTTTTTCGTGTTGCCGCAGGCAATAAAGTGTTGCGACCTTGAGCAGTACTATGTTCTCGCCATGGCGACGGTTAACGCATGGCCTGCGGCTCGCTAAGACCGAACCTACGCTAGTGGCCGTACTCCTTCGGGATACGTATCACTACATAGCAGAGAAAGCAACTCAACCATCACACTACAGGAACCTTATCGGTCTGTACTTACCACTTCCGCAGTGATTTCCTGAGAAGCACACTGTTCCTCGGCAACTTCGACGTTGTGTGCGTGAAATACAAAGTCGACGTCAGGGCGCTGTCCACGAGTGAACTTGTGCTGTCTTGCAGAGAGAATACCACTGGCAAAAGAGAATCACACAGGTTATAACCTTTCCTAATGCAGTTTATCAACATGTGTCGAAAATGTACTCGCAATACTTATCGAGAATTTAAAATCTAGTCTTTTAAAGTGCACAAAAGTGAGCTCCATACTTCAACTTTCAGAAACAGTTCAAGTATGGAACATGAACAAAGGGTGGCCCATGTTCAAAGGCATGATTCAGGAACTTGCTACCAAGCTTTAGGATGCATATTCGAGAGAACTAAATGTCTTACAGCTGCATAATTTGGCAAAGCTTACCAAAGTACCAAAGAGAACGTAGTGTTTTGAAAATATAAATCAGATCATTGGGCACTAAAAAATTGTCAGTGTTTCCCTTTCACATTAGGTTAATTCCACATGCATTTATGAACTTCATTTTCATGTATTCAGGTTTCAGCCACAAAGAGTGTTAGCAATGCTCGGCGCTGACTACGCCACAACATTTCAGAAGCTCTGAAGTTGTTCAAGATCATTCTGTTAGGATCAAGATTATATGCAGGACACGCATAGCCAAGTTTATTCTACAGCTTATGCAAGCACCAGTGATAAGGCTTGAATGTTCCATGCTGCATGTATAAATGCTGACGCACCTCGCCACAGATTTTGTTGCTCAACGGCCGATGACTATTTATGCCACTATCAGTTCACAGAATAAGTAGTTTGCACAATGTATTTTCATCGGGCACAAGTTTGCCCAAATAAAACGTCGAGTCTTGAACACACCAACTGCTGCCTTCATCAATGTGACAAGCACGTGACAATATGCAGCACTTCAGTTTAGCTTAATTTTTCATCATGTTAGCACCTGCATTTTTTGAAGTCCTAGCATGTTTACGTGCTTATGCATGCATCTGCATGTTGTATGGAGAAAATACAGCCTCAGTGCTTTAACTTTACCCCGTTATAACAAGCTATTTTAAGACATTCTGTATGTCCAAAGATGTAAAATGACACACAAACAACTAAGAGCTAAATCTGAATTACATCTCTATAGCTGCATTCATAACTATGCTATTTTTTCCCTTCACAAATGTGCGAACATGGCACTTAAAAAAAAACACATGACATAACTGCTTGCAATGCAAGGACTAACCTCACAACCACTTCTTGTCCAGGCTTGCAGCATCCAACCAAGTCATCTTGAAGCACAACCCACATGCTTCCAGGAACATTGCGAAGAACTAGATTGTTGGCTTTCTCTTGAATCAGCACTTCCTGATAGTCGCTACATTTTGACAAGTCCATTTCTGTGTGAGGGCAGCAAAAAGAACATGAAGATTGCACAAAAAATGTGTTCCCAACATGAAAGGCTCAACATAACAAGCAGTTGTCCTAGTTCTCTTATGCAAATCTCATCAGTGATATGACTGTTTTTTCCCAGCAGTGCAGCAACACTGTCCTAGAGGGGTTACTGAAATCTTCAACTAAACACAAATAAAGCTAGAGATAACAAGATGGCTCAACAGGCCAGTAGACGCTTGGCCCTTTTGTAGGGTGACAGCAGTGCTCAAGCAAAAGCCACCACCAATGGCAGCAGGAACAGCAGTGGCACATGAAGCTGACAATAAGGCGGAGGCACAGAGTGCATACAGGTGTGGTGCCTTCAGTGATTCTGCAAAAATGCTTCTACAAACAAAGCTCACTGGAGCGAGCCAAGATGTAGAATTATGTGCAGGAGGTTCTCTGTTCCTACCCCGCCAGTGGCTCATATCATTTTACACAGCATGTTAACATTGTTGCATATTTAATGCGTGTATAAATTAACGAAGCAGCACGAAAAGCATGTGTGAAGGTGGCATATTCTTCCACAGGGAGTTCTGCAGTTCCACGCAAAGGGCTCATGTGTCAGCATTTTCCCATTATCTGTCTGTTTCCTTTGATTTTCTTTCTCAAGACGCTCCACAAATCTTCATGTTTTAGCAACTATTCCAGTCTCCTGTCTTGATCAATGCCATGTAACTCAGGCAACAAAAATTATCATCGCATTCAGTGCACATGTAAGACTGATGTCAATGGTAACTGCAAACACTGAACTGTGTTGGTGCTTTTCATCAACGCAGACCACACAAACATATACCAACCATAGCGAGAGATGGGGACGCCATAAAAAAAATGCAGCAACTAAAAGAAGATTGAGCTGCTGAGAATTCTGCGAAATTACGATAAAATCTATGTGTTTACCATGAATGCTTCAGCTCCAAGCCTGTTGTGCATGTATAGTTAGACACAAAATCTGCAATTCGCTTGGGAGAATCTCTACCATTTGAATAGTTCCTCAATTGATATAATAACTGGACGAACGCAAAGGAGTGTCAAAAGCATACATACAGATTAGTGAACCGTGCGCTCCTAGGTCTTTCCTCATAAAGAACAGTGAAGACGTATAAACCAATGACAGTGAATGGCCTCCCCATTTAGCCTTGTATGAATATTCATTTGTGCACCAAAAGGCCAGTATATTTTGCAAAAATGGGGGACCCTTTGGCCTCTAAAAATTGAGCGTGATAGTCATATCCACATGCACACGCACACACACACACACACACACGCACGCACTTTCACCTTCCCAATCGCTAGCCTGCCTTCACTTCTGGGTGGGAACCTAAACTGTGCCGCAAGGAAAGCCAAAGTGCAAAAGTTCTCCAGCTTCCATCTTTATTTTCATCTACCTCAAACTTTTGCTCATAACCAAAGACGCCACCGCATAATTTTCTGCCCCAAGCTTTTTGACGCTACACAAGCTTATTACACTAACTGGTCCTTGGGGCCAAAAAGTGACAAAAAATTCATTTTTTAAAATTGACATATTAGGTTTCTGCAAGTATTTTTCTATCTCTCTGCAAATTTCACACACCAGGAAGTGGTAAATTTTTTTGTAATATCATTCCAACTGTCCAGATTCTTGGTGCTGAGAACATGCATAACCTGCAAAAAAACGGGGAACCGACTTCAAGGCTTCTTTATAATTTGCTCTGCTACGAATTTATGAGCACCTTCGTGAGGATTGCATAACATGCACACCATGATTGTTGCTTTTTGAAGAAGCTGTGTGTTTTCAGTTTTTTCCATTTTTCTCAAAAAAGTAAATTAACGACAGTTCAATTTAAAGGCCTCAATATCTATGCAGCTAGGGCTGGTACAACAATAATTCTTTTTGCAATGGAAACCTGTATGTGTGTAGAATGCAAGTATGGGAGCAGAATTTAGAGCCCAAGCTTTTTTAATTAATTACTCATCAAAATTGCAACACAATTACAACTGCTTTTGAAAATAGATCATTTATTTAGCTGTAAAATAACCAAGAAAGGCCTAAAAACAAAAAACACTTGCATACTTTCAATCTATAGTCATTAGTCTATGCTGGTATATTCTAAATGTCACTTCTAATTAAGCCCTTTTTTTTCTATGGCGACATTAAACAATAGGGGGTGAACTTAAGTTATCCCAGGAGCAAGATGAGTTACAGGAAAACTTATTAAATATTTGAATTCAGCAGAAAAAAACTGCATAATACTGTGCAGTTTGATTAAGATCACTGAAGAAATATTACAAAAAAAATATCTAAGACCAGTCTGCCCCCTTAAAAATGTAGTTCATTGGAGTAGTTCACCACACGTTAGTGATTAGCAAAAACAGCACGAGAGAAGACGAAGAGCGAGGGAAAAAACACAAGCATGAGCAATAGACAGTGCTCATCCTGTTGTTCTGTCACTATGCTCCATCTCCTCGTGTGCCGGTTTTCCCAATTACAGCATGCTTATATAGACGCACTTCTACAGGCCATTTCAGCAATGTAAAACTGAATAAACAAGAAAACAAAATTTATCAACGTAGTTGGTAGCTGCACCCTGCCTGGCAGCCACATGCCGTCACGAAGAGCATTGATATAGTTCCTACTACTGTCAGTGCTCTAAACTTGGATATGGCAACTGCAATAAGCCGAAAAATGAGTACTTGTCTCTCTAGTTTAAGTGGAATATTAAAGCTCAATTCTACACAGGATCACGTGATACAGCTAGGACATCACAACAAATATGGTAGAGCCTACTGGAAAATTTGGCAGACAAATAGTTGACACACAATCCGCTATCTCAATTTGAAACAGCAAAGCAGAAAGAAAAGTACTAATACTGAGAGTTGTCGCACTGTAACGTAACAATGTTCCAGCTTACGAAAGGGTTGTGAAAAATGCACTGCAGTTAACATTGGGTGTCACCCGACTCCCCTGGTTCCAGAACGCGCTGGCTGCCTGAATTCTATGTTTAGCAACAAGGAAAGTTGCTCAGCCATATCTTATTTCTCATGAGCATATATTAATGAGTCATTAGTGATTATTTATTTTTCAGTTCATAGGTTCAGAAATGATTGAATGATTTCTGAAACTGTCAATAACAAAGCTGACCAAGTAGTTTTTCGAACCGCTGGAATCAAGGCATGAACTCTGCACAAAAACAGCGTCGAAAAATAACACACGTACTGACGATCAATGAAGCTTCACTAGAAGGAACACAAGGTTATTTATGCATGAAATTCCACTCACACGTCAACAAGATAGGAGCCAATTATATCACCGTCAAACACGCCTTCCTACTTGAAGCAACTACACGAAGTTTAACAAAAGGTTGTGACCTCGGCGTGCTGAAAAAAATCTTGACAGAAATCTCTAAGAAAGATATTTTTATCACTTAGAGCAAGCCAAGCAACACCTGTATAACACATCTGGAGTTCATCTTTTCAGTATAAAAACGCCACTTTTGTCCTGGGTCGACTGATCTGGGTGCAGGAATGAAAGTGAAGTGCCATACAAATCTGCTGGGCTATTGCAATCTCTGCAATACATCCCCCAATGATAAAAATAAAAAATGGTCGTCTGAGTGTGTTCTTGCGTTAAAATGGGTTCACGTTTATGCATATTGTGGGCATTTGTTACTTACATTGTCATCATCCCTGCATGATCACAATCACCATCATCAGCTTGTCTCTTTGTCCTCATTGCCACTCTGGGTCATTATCATCGCCATCGTCTGTGTACTGGCTCTGCCCGTTCGTTTTGCGTGGTCTTTCCTCAAATAAACGCTGACGCAGCCAAGACTACCAAGACTTCATACATATGTGGTGGAGGTGGATTTTCGGTCCTCTGACCTCCCGCAGCCCGCTATACCCCCTGGAGCTTCGTTCAGGCCGCCGCTTGCGCCCACAGTCAGGCAGCATGACCTAGACCGGGTCTGCCGGCACTGATGTCATCAACCACGCACCGCCGCAAGCTGCCCCTCCTACTTACATACACGGACATCAGCGGGAACCCCCGCTCTTTGCTGGTCTTCGGGGAGAAGACGTAGAAGACTGGCTTGATGACTATGACCGCGTAAGTGCCGCTAATAGGTGAAACGAGGCCGCCAAACTGCGTTACGTGCCTTTTTATCTGATCGGAGTCGCGAAGACATGGTATTTTAACCACGTCGTTGACTTACCCGACTGGGCTACCTTACAGCAGCAGCTGCGACACGTCTTTGGGACACCAGACATTCGATCCGACGTCGCGAAAAGGACACTCGATACTCGCCGACAACATCCCGGTGAATCGTACACTTCATACATCGAGGATGTCCTCGCACTCTGCCGGCGTGTCAATCAATCTATGCCGGAATCGGACAAAGTGCGCCATATATTGAAAGGCATTGGGCCTGTTGCCTTTAATGCCATCGCTGTGCTAAACCCAGCTACCATCGCTGATGTCGTGACGACATGCCAGCGCCTTGATGCGCTGGACTCCGTTCGCCTTCAACCGGACATTGGCGACCACCACTCCACGTCAGATGGCCATCTGCGTGACCTCATCCGGGACATTATACGCGAAGAATTGCGGTCCATGGGCTTCACACCTCTTACACCGCGACCTACACAGCCTTCGGGAATGCCCTTACGTGACATCATCAGGGAGGAACTTACATCCATGACTGGCCCTGCGCCCGTACAGCCACCTGCTTCTCACCCTATATCCACGTACCCTCAAGTTGATGCCGTGCCTCCCAGCGACGCCCACGCGACATTGCCGCGTCCATCCTACGCATCAGTTGCTGCCGCTCCCCCGGTGAACTACCATTCCGTGCCCCCTGACCCTTCGGCCCACCTGACCGCGCTATCTCCAGGTGCCCCGAATGCCTTCTATTCCCTACCGTGGCACTCGTCTCGCCCTGTATGCTACTACTGTGGCTATCGCGGCCACATATCTCGTTTCTGCCGAAAGCGCCAGCAAGATGAGCGTCGGAACGACGTGCGTGAACGGGATTTGTACACCGGGGCATCTTATCAACGTCGGCGTTATTCGTCTCCCCCGCACCGGTCTCCATCTCCTCCTGCATCGACTGCACCACGAAACAGCCGAAACGCGAGACGCCGCTCGCCTTCACCCTTCCGCCGTTCCACTTCTCCACTTCGGCCTGCCTCATTCACCTCTGATATTCATTCAGAAAACTAAGTGATGCAGTTTGTGGAGGAAAAACTGCATTCGGAATTAGAACTGAAATTTCTCCATCAGGCCCGTGTAACATGGTTTCTGTGGAAGTGGAAGGAGTGCGAGTCGATGCTTTGGTGGACACAGGTGCGACATTGTCTGTGATACGTGCTGATTTGTGTGAACATTTAAGGAAAGTAATGACGCCTTACAATGGCCCCACGTTAGTTGCTGCCCAGAGGAACTTCATTCGCCCTTCCGCGTTTTGTACTGTGCGTGTTTTCATCGACGGCATCCGCCATCATGTCCAGTTTGCTGTCCTGTCCCGCTGCCCTCACCAACTAATTTTAGGGTGGGATTTTCTATCATCTGCTTCCGCGGCGATTTGTTGTGGACAACCCGTCGTTCACCTCGCTGACACCGACTACATGCTTGACGACGACAATCAGAAGCCACTTCGTCTGGTCGCTGCGAAAGACATCGAATTGCCGCCACTACAAGAGCAAATTGTCAGCATTACGTCCAACGACATCTATCATGGGGATGTATTGGTCTCACCGTCACCACTTTGCGTTCGCAAAGGTATAGTTCTTTCGTCCGGTGTCGTTCGTTTTTGCAATGGCTCGGCACTTGTCACCGCTGTCAACTCTACACCGGAAAAGATCTTACTGCCACAGGGCACTACTGTGGCCCGTCCGTGTTGCTGACTTCGAGCCTGTATTTGTCACCCCCCTTCAGGCCATCGCATCCAAAGAACCTCGCCTCGGTGAGCGTGTTTCTTCCTCCGCCTTTACCACCGCTATCAGCAGCGAATTGACATATTCACAGAGGCAGCAGCTGCTCGCATTGTTACAGAAACATGCAAATTCTTTCAATATTTGCTCGTCTAAGCTGGGCCGCACTAATACTACAGCACATCGAATTCAAACTGTTGGGACATCTATCGTACACCGCCGACCCTACCGCGTCTCTAACTGAAAGAAAAATTATAGAAGAAAACGTTACGGACATGCTTAAACAGGAAGTCATCTGTCCCTCATCTAGCCCTTGGTCGTCTCCTATTGTTTTGGTCCATAAAAAGGATGGCTCTGTGCGGTTTTGCGTGGACTACCGGGCGCTCAATAAGATCACACGCAAGGAACGTGTACCCTATGCCACGCATTGACGACGCTCTTGATTCCCTACAAGGCGCGGAATTATTTTCAAGCATCGGCTTGCGTTCTGGGTACTGGCAGATCCCCACGCATGAAGACGATAAGGAGAAAACGGCATTCGCAACCCCCGACAAGCTATATGAATTCAACGTGATGCCTTTTGGGCTCTGCAACGCACCCGCGACTTTTGAGCGCATAATAGATACAGTGCTGCGCGGCCTGAAATGGAAAAGTTGCCTTTGCTACCTGGACGACATTATCTTTTCGTCAACGTTTCCTCAGCACCTAGAACGATTGGATCAAGTTTTGACGTGCCTTGCCAGCGCCGGGCTTCAAATAAACACTAAGAAATGCTCTTTCGCTAGCAAATCTATCAAGGTCTTAGGACAAGGTCTTATCAAGGTCGTTAGAAAAGATGGCATCCGGCCCGACCCTGACAAGATTTCTGCAGTCCTTCACTTTCCGCATCCCGCAAAACCAAAGGAGCTTCGCAGTTTCCTTGGCCTCGCCTCCTATTTTCGCCGGTTTATCCAGAACTTCGCTTCTATTGCTGCTCCATTACACCAACTACTTGCTTTCAACGTCCCCTCTCTGTGGTCTCAAGAATGTCAAACAGCATTCGACCTGTTGAAGCGGGCACTCACGTCTGAACCTCTGCTCTGCCACTTTGACGAAGCCGCACCGACTATCCTCCATACCGACGCTAGCGGCCTTGGTATAGGAGCCGTTCTTCTACAACGCAACAAGTCTTCCCTAGAGAAAGTTGTTGCATATGCCAGTCGCGTACTCACCCCTGCCGAAAAGAACTACACTATAACTGAGCAAGAGTGTTTGGCTATGGTTTGGTCGGTCCAGAAGTTCCGTCCCTATCTTCACGGCCGTCACTTCACAATCGTTACGGACCACCATGCCTTATGCTGGCTTTCTACACTGAAGAACTTGTCCGGACGCTTGGGTCGGTGAATACTACGCTTGCAGGAGTACGACTTTGACATAACTTACAAGTCAGGCAGAAAACTTCAAGACGCCGACGCTTTATCTCGTTGCCCGCTTCCAACTACCCATATCAGCATTGGTGAGAACTCAACCGCCACATCGACCAAAGTTCATACTCTCGCATCGATAAGGCAACCCTCTTCGGACGACGAGCCAACATTTATCTCCCACCAGCGGTCCGATTCATACTGCAGACGCATGATGGACCACCTTTCGGGAGTTTCTCATCCACCCAAGGTGCTACTCCGTCGTAAAATCCTGCACTTTAAGCTGGACAATGGGGTTCTCTACCGCCACGTCTATCACCCTGACGGTCAGCGCTGGGTTCCTGTACTGCCACGCTCTCTCCGACTTCAGGTGCCCGAAGCCTTCCACGACGACTTGACTGCTGGTCATCTTGGTTTTAAAAAAACTTTTGACCGCATTCGATGTCGTTATTACTGGCCTGGCCTTTCTTCTAGTGTAGCGCGGTACGTCGGCTCCTGCTACCCATGCCAGCGTCGTAAACTCCCCACGTCTGCACCTGCTGGACCTCTACAGCCACTTCCGTGCCCTTCAATGCCGTTCGAGGTTGTAGGTGTTGACCTTTACGGGCCTCTCCCCGTCACATCTGCTGGCAAACGATGGATAGTGACCGCCGTGGACCACCTGACACGCTACGCTGAGACTTCCTCTGTTATTACAGGCTCAGCTGTGGAAGTTGCAGACTATTCTTCACGCATAATACTGCGTCATGGGGCTCCTCGTGTACTGCTTAGTGACCGCGGCAAAGTGTTCCTGTCACAAATGGTAAACGAAGTACTGCGCGCTTCTGGAACTACTTACAAGACAGCTTCAAGCTACCACCCTCAGACAAATGGTCTCACAGAAAGATTTCACCGAACCCTTGGTGACATGATAGCCGTTTACGTCCAACCCGACCACAAAAACTGGGATACTCTTTTACCGTTCCTGACATTCGCTTACAACACCGCCGTTCAGCGAACAGCTTGCTACTCACCATTCTACCTCGTGTACGGACGCACCCCGACTACCTTTCTAGACGTCTCTTTCTTTAACAGCCATGGGAATTCATGTCAGTCTTCTAGCGAAGAATACATTTCCCGCCTGGCCCAGTCTCGCCATCAGGCTCGCATCAATACTGAAGCGAGACAGCACGAGCGGAAGATCATCTATGATGAATCCCACCACGTTGTGTCTTTCCAACCTGGTGACGAGGTGCTGCTTTTGACACCTATTCGCACTCCTGGTCTTTGTGACAAATTCCAACCACGCTTCATCAGGCCATACATTGTTTTAGAACAGACTTCGCCAGATAATTATCGTGTCACACCACTCGTCACCCCAACAGACCGCCGCTACAGCAGCACAGAGATTGTCCACATTTGTCGCATGAAACCTTTCACGCGACGTTCCCCGTCACTTTGACTTATGGCGGCCAGGGTGTCCGCTTCCAAGTGGGGGGAATTAGTGTGGGCATTTGTTACTTACATCGTCATCATCCCTGCATGATCACAATCACCATCATCAGCTTGTCTGTTTGTCCTCATTGCCACTCTGGGTCATTATCATCGCCACCGTCTGTGCACTGACTCTGCCCGTTCGTTTTGCGAGGTCTTTCCTCAAATAAACGCTGACGCAGCCAAGACTACCAAGACTTCATAATATCCCCCGTCTAGCCGCCATATACGCAACCACACTGGAGTTGGAACAGCTCCAGTATTCACCCAGTCTGTCAGCTGTGCAAGAATGTCATAAATGTTATCATGATACATCAATGAATGCTTGTGTAGCGTCTGCAATGCTCCCACGCAAGTAACCAAGGTTGGCGAGTTCAACAGGTTAGATAATAAATATTGTTCATACCCTTAGTGGAAGGCATGAACTTGGAGCCAGGACAGCCAATTGGATTCGGACAGGTGGAAGGCTTGGTCAGCATGCAGAACATGACTAAGTCGGCCTTGATGGTGAAGGAGTAGCCACAGGTAGCGCACAGGTATTCCTTCGAATGCTCCAATACCTTCATTCCTTTTATTCTTAGAACTGTTCCTATGAAAAACGAAACAAGTAAAAAAACAATAATGCATAAATGTGGGCTGCACTTGCAGTGCTTCCCACTGTGCCGCCCTCTACAGCGGTGGATACTGACAGGATCGCATTTCCAGTGGCGCCTCATAGAACTGAACAAAATGGGGATGTGCTCAACAGGGAGTTATACAATGACAAATTGCACAAAGAAATATTATCAGTGAGCAAGCTTCTTTTAATTCAGGATAACAAAGCGTACACAAAATCTATCATACCTCTTCTAACAGTGAATAGTGTTAGTCTACATAAGATATTCTATAAAAAAATAGAATATTATACAGTAGCATGGTGCTGATGAGAGTGTTATCTTAAATATTTCACTGCAGATTTCTAGAAAATGCTTGTCTTTGGAGGTGCCCTCCAAAACTATTCACACTGCACTTTTTACTTGTTTTTTACTTTACTTACTTGTTCTTTATACTTGTTAATGTATAAAGAACAGAAGCATTGGGGACCCACAGTTCAAAAGTATTCAGCCTAGAAACTTCAGAATACAAGAAATAAATGCATGCCCTCCACTCAATTTTCGCAGAGTCACATGGCCACATTTCACTTTTCACTGATGTTACAACGTGCCATCAATGAACTGAAAGGCCCAGGGGAAGCTTGCACACCATTGTTGCCTGTTCCACCCAGCACAATGATCACGCTGTTACTACAGTAACAAACCGTGTGGCGTCACATACATCAAATCCCCCAAAAAAAGGATGAGATAAATAACAATGCATCAAAGTTAAAAAAGAAATGAAAGATAGGGAAACTGCCAGACCTTCAATAAAGTTTATTCATTAATTCACTCTGGAAGCCCTAACACTAACGAATGCATGGTACATACAAAAGCAGGCTGTTCAGAAGGGCATACATGCGAGAAGAAAAACTTTCGCTTAATGACAAACCTTGTGTGCGCATTTCAATATGCTTGGGTGCTACAGGCTAGAAAGCAGCCAGCGCCACTACCATTTCTTGAAATTGCACAGCTTCTACTTTATTTTTAACAAACAACACTATCTGTTTGCATTAGCGTAAAAGGTGCAGCAAAGATCTTTCAAGATCGAAGTGGGGATTCTACCACAGCTTCAACAGCAATCAATACTACACTGCACGTGCAAAACGAGCCAGCTCACAAACATACACAACAAGCAAGAGAAAGAAGCAAGAGAAACGGCACAAGCAAAAGGCCAGAGGCAGAGTATCAGCCAGTGCTTGTAGCGTATTTTGCAGCATGTCTTTTGTTGTTGTTGTTACTGTGATTGCAACATTGTCTGTGTGACAGCCAGAAAAAATAAAACCCAATAAAAATCTCATTTTTGAAGCATTGCTCTGATCGCATTTAATATTATGCTTATCCAATCAAAGACCCGCACTGTTTTCCATTACTTCCACCCGCAATAGTTATAGGTAGCACCACTACGTGATGATGCGGTCAGCAGCAATGTAATCATTTCATCACGTGAATAAAATATTAAATTTATTGATATTGATGCTTTGGCCTATGCTAAAATTATCCACTGAGATCAGTCTATGCAGCCCGCAAATTAACTGCTTCAAAAGTATTGAACGGCCCTTTAAACCAGGACACAGCGTAGTGGATAAGAAAATCAAAACTGCAGCTATTAAAACAGTTGAGTTCTGCAGTAAAAAGCTAATTAATTACTCAGGAACATGAGATTTTCTGAAAGCCTAGTTCATGATTACTCTAAACTGTATAAACTCTAGAGCGCGGGAGCCCTGTCAAGTTGCAGTTTTTGCGACTTTTTTTCCCAATACCCTTATAATGCACATGGAGAAATAAAATTTGATTTAGTTGAACGATTGATGAGCACATTATAACAAAGATGCTGGGCATTACCCGTTATGGCCTGGAACCTTGATACTTGCTTGCATTTTGGCAGTGTGGCTGTTTGAATGAACTGAGGCAGATTTACGAGTCGAAAATGGACATTTTCTTTCAAGTTCTGCAACATAAGCAAAATCTATGCATTAAGACAGAACAGATTCTTCCCTTAGCAGCCGCTGAGAGTAATACATCTATGAGACAAGAAAAAAAAGGAATGTTCTAACAAGACACATTGCAAAAGAAAAAAATCATTTAACATCACAGTATAACTTAGAACAATGCCGCTGCTGGTGCATAAGTGCAAGCAGGATTTAGTTAAGGAGGGGAGGAGGTGCACTTGGAACATCCTCTGTTCTCGCACGAATATTTTGCACAAATATGCAGGGCTGTTGATATCATGTTTAATATTTCAGAAAAAGACGTTTTACATTTACCACTTCTCTGTTCTCACTCAAAATATACAGAAAGCCCATGTTTTGTTGTGGTTATTCTTCAGTGTAAGATAGAGCACAGTTACTTGGTTAGCTTAGAAAAAAAAAAATATCCAACTACAATCAATTCGTCTTAGCAGCACAGAAGCTTGGGCGAGCCCAAGCTTCTGTGCTGCCAATATCAGTACTGCACGCGGGCAAGACCAGTATCTGGCTACCCTTTGTGCGCAGTAGCTCTGCATGAGTGCCATCTTTTTGAGTTTTTTTTTTCCACAAACGTAAGTTCACTTTTTTTTTCTGAAAATTAAGCACCAAGAATTACATTGAAAGTCTCCAACAATGAAATGCTCTCTTTCAGGAATTCTAGGTAAACAGAGCAGTGGTATTTTAGCTGCAATACACATGGCCCAGTACAGTAAACACACGTGTGAGTGCACTGCATCTAATCATGTCTGTACTGCTTTTGGTGATTTCTATGCTAGTTGTTTTATTGTTGCTCTTGTTTTTTTTTTGTAACTGCGTACTAATTCGCATTTGACTCATTTCCTTTGGTCCTCTGTTTACTTTCTTTCGTGCTCTTGTGAACTATGCTTAAGTTTTCTACACATTGCTTAATGTTCCTCATCTTTACAGAAGGATACCTTTGGAGCTCTAAATGAGTAGTGTGATTATATGAATAGCATCAGAATGGTAAGTTTGTTTGTCTTATCTGCGAATCATAATATTAAGTAAGCTAAAACAATCGACAAAAAAAACACAAGAAATTAGACACAAGTAAACTAGCAACGCCAGCCATTTACGAATTCACAAAGATTTGTGGGCGATAAACGCGTGCACATCGCGCTGAATGACAAAGTAATTTAAACAAGATATAATTGTACAGTAAGAGAAAGGCACGGAGATAGCACAGAAACCCTTACGTATTTGTCTCCGACTGAGCAATCAGTCCAAAGCAGTTCTGCAATGCCAATGCCACGGATGCGTTCATACAATCGAGAGTCTTCTGAGGTTGATAAAGGAGGGATTCCCCGAACTCCACGCTCGCATCAAACAGTGTGGTCCCACTAAAACAAAAACGAAAAAATTGTGCACGTGCAAGTCATGCCCGCAAACTCTTGCGCTCGCCGAAGATCTGCACATCGAGGGGCATGCGGTACCACACAGCGGAAAGAAATAGAATCCCGATATCGTCTCACTTGACTCGTAGGCAAAAATGTCGCCTGTCGTCGTCAGAGGCCAAAATCGCCTCGAGATCATGCTTGTGATTTTCCAGCAGAAAGGACTTCAAGAAGCCTGCGGAGAAGATTGGCAGTTATTACTTGAATTATTGCAAGCGCCGAATAACGTTCCACCTTGAATGCGGTTCATGTAAGAGTGCGCTCAGGTCGGCGATCAAAATTTTATAAAGAACTTGGCGATCTGACGTCTGCTAGATGGATGCGGAAAACGCGCGCTTGCGCATCTAATTTGGAAGTGTAGTTCGAGCTTCTAGCCGCTACGAGTTGATCACGAAGACGAGACATGTCAGTGCCTCCTCTATTTTTTCTAAACTTGTAAACACGACTTACTGCTTGTAAAGTGGTGGTCAATAGGACACGACGTATGGTGTTCATAGACCTGGTGTAAGTTTTATGTTTTTGTTGTTTCTGTAAACCTAAAAAAACAAAAAAAACTATCATCATCATCATTCTGCTTGTTAGTTTCGGTTTTTATATTCAATCAAACCTTGATCAAACTTTTTGTGGTAGAGCAAAAATTAGTTTTTGTGATGCAATATGAGAAAGGTTGCAATGGTAGTGCGTAGAGCTTTACGTAGAAAGGCTCAAAAATGTAAAAAAAAAAAACTTCACCGAGCAGTTTGAAGTACAACACGCTCATGGTACGTACTAATATACTACTAGTCACGGCTAAATGGCGTGACCCACCGCCGATCAAGAGTTCAGCCCGTGGTCGAGCCTTATTCAATCCATCCACTTAAGTGTAGGACATGGACATTCTCACATGCACTCTCTAGCCTACTATGCGTCGTACAGACTAGGCAAGCAATAGTTAAAGGGGCACTAAAGTGAAACGATCATTTTAGACGAACAAATTAACAAAAGATTGTTTGAAAACTCTGCTGTCGTGAATAAATGTTCATTGAGTGTATAGATAGATTTCTCTTTCTCTCAATCTTATGCTCTTGCTCTCCTCCCCATGCTCAGGGTAGCAAACTCAATGCACTCTAATTAACCTCCCTGCCATTTTTGTATTTCCTCTCGTTCCACGGTCAGCTAAAATATTAACAGTGTCGACCTCGGGCAATGAATGCAGAACATCGCATCCGCGCAGGAATTTCCCTTTGTCACGCTGTTAAACACCAATCAGTGAAAAGGCCAGCGGCCGATGAAAGTGCACTTCCCACTGACAATATTCAAACTGTAACCTATGACACCGAGTAGTGAATTACCACTTGTGAGCAACATATTCTACTGCTTTGCAGCCTTTTTAACTGACAAAGACAATTATCACAAGAATTCACCGTACTTTTGACAAACTGCACCAAAAGAACCATATATCATATGCACGGTGTAAGATTACACCGTGATCATATATGCCATGCACTCATGTGTTTGTTCAATTTTATTTCCCACAAGAATATGTTCGCATTGTTTTAAACAGAGTTTCTATGGTTTTAGATGAGTCAGCAGCTGTTGAATGGATGCATGTGAAGCTTTACTGCAAGTCCTGTCAGCCGATGCAACAAGAAAACTGCAAGTTCGTCCATCCCTTTGTCAAGTAAGTCAATCATCACTGCAAACTAACGAACAAATCAATTAAAACAAGTTTTTTTTTTTTTGGCAGAGTTTGGTTTTGAAACCCGTGAGCCGCTCTCACTCCACATTCCATTTACTGTAGTTACATAAGGTATACAAGCACATATGACACCTTAATGTTAAGCTCAATTAATTTATAGACAAAAGAATGGACAGCCGGGCCAATTATTCTTGATTACTTGTACAGCACAAGATACAACACGGACATCTGCATGTGCTTTTTTATTGTCTGGCCACATTGTGCATGTTGCAGTGTGCAAGCACTGCAGCATGCACAAGTACAACATGCACTGCAAAGTGGTATAATTGTTCCCTGGCGCAAGTCAGTCGATGCACACATTACTCGCATAGCACCGTGCTATGCGAGTAATATAAAATGCTTAAACACACAAAAAAAAGTGCCAACAAATCCCAGTTAGGGCCAGTTTCAAATGGTTCAGCTTGCTCCCAACTGGAATGAACTGAACTCATTCAGCACCGGTCAAAACTACTGAAAACTTGGAAATTTGGCAAACTGAAGTTGGCAAAAAATACTTTTTGAAGTTGGCAAAAAATATCGGAGATGGCCTTTGAAGAGTTTATCATTTGGCAGTTCAATGTGCCTCTACAAGCTTTTCTAATAAGAGAAATTTTTAAAGAAAAAATGAAATAGCAAAGTCCTTGGTTGATAAAAAAAATTTATTTCGGTTCTCTTTAAGTGGTAATCACAACTGACAGCACTGCCACCACATACTGCTTACACCACATGGAAGTTGCACATGATTCTCTTCATTACTGCTACGAAAGAACCATAATTTTCTTTTAAAAAAGAATCACATTAGTGTGCTTGCATCTGCTGATGAAACCAGATAGAACAGTGGTGCAGGAATGCAGCAGCGGAAAAAAAACTTGTACTGGTATAACGCATCAAAGAAAATGTCATGGAAACTCCATCTTTTCATTTGGCCAGCTCGGCTATCTCTTCATTTTCGGAACTCACTGTACCAATTCAAGCATAACAACACTCCCCCAATCATCAACAGTTGTTGTAAAAATAAAAAAAGCAGATTAATCAATAACAGGGAGCAAACAAAGCAAATGCAAGAGCTAGAAATGACATTATAATAATTCAAGTTTTTTTTTCTTACCGCACATATAATGGGTATGAACTTCAACTTATGGCTTGGCTTCACAACAGGAAATAGTGTGGATGCATAGAACATGAAAGACTGACAGGACTTGGTGCCAAGTCCTGCCAGTTTTTTCCTGTCCTGCGTGTTCACGCTGTTCCCCATTATGAAACATATAATTGCATTGGAGAACATATTGAATTCCCAGGGCAAATGTTGCAATTACTGATTGGCTGTAACTTTCTACAAGGCATGCATAAAGTTAAAGCATTAAAAAAACGTGGACATGAGAAGTGACGCTAAAATCTGGCACATCAATTTCAAGTTGTGCTTTTCAGATACTTCGTTCAAAAATTGCTTCAGTTGCAACAGAGCTCTATTTTGTACAAATATTGTAACTATTGCTCCAACTGATTATTCTATTATGGGTACCGACCATAAACAATATATAAACAAAAGCAACTATGTGAATCTATGAAACAAACCATTGCCAGACAATTGCCAAGCACATATGCAAGTCTGAATGCAATTTTCCCTGAAGCAATATGAGAAACAAAGAGTCTCCCATGAATGACAGTGCTGTACGACATGGCGAGAAGGCAAGCAAGTGTAACTTTCTGTTAAGACTGAAGCTCGTCCATGGCTAGCAAAACTTCTTATTGCATACTGTGCCGCAAAAATTGGAGAAGCCCCACACTACTCGCTGCTGGTCCACGAAAAATCGTAATGGGAACACATGGGCAGCAAACACAAATGAATATTTCTGTTCTGAATCAATGTAATTAATTAGCAAGAACATTAAAGAACGGTTGGAATTAGCCCAGTAATAAACACCAATGCCACACATTTAAGCTTTGCTACCTAATCATCTATACAAAGTGCTTGGGCTATGATTTTATCACCATGCCTTGTCTAAATTTTTGCATATATTTTAACTGCACTGCATTATAAAAAAGAAAGACATCAAGCTACTTGCTGCTGTAGTGCAGTATACAGACCTATAATGATTGTAGTAAGCACTCATCCTAGGTCATTTTCTACATGTGTTTCTCCTCGCTTTCAAAACTATTTTAGAGGTAGGCAATGATGATACTGCACAAGAATTGAATGCTCAAAATATTAATAGCCATCAATATTTATTTTCTCACATTCTATTGCACGACACTCTGTCTCAATTTCTACACCCTGCCACTGCAAGGCAAATTTTTTTCGAATGTCCACTACTCAATATTACATGGTGCCAAAAAAGAGAATTCGCAGGTACGCCTTTTCACAGTAAAAAAAGTTCACGAGAGTCTGAATAAAGTGCAGGCTATCCCTCAGGGTAAGGCTGGAGTCTTGCACAAGGTTCAGTGCTTCTTGAATTTCCTGATGCAGTGGTAGGTAGGCTTTGGTAGTCTGTAGAACTTGAAGCCGTGCAAGAGTTTGACCTGCTAGAACAGTGCTGTCCACAAGTCGTGCTGCCACAAAGGCAGCCATAGCACGGCAGCAAAACCTGAACCTCAAGGATACTGATGACCGACGTCCCATTCCCAGAGCTCCAAGAAGGCCACCTGTGTCGCGATCTTCACCCAAGACACCCAGTGTTGAGCAGAAATTTGCCAGGAGGTTATCTAATGCCTGCGGACTGCTGCCAAAGTCTAGCTGGCGAAGGCTTAAAGCCAGGAGCTTGGCCCACAGTAAAAGCAGCTTAGGTTCAGACTCTCCACCAGCTCGGCCTTGAGACACCCAGTCGGCCAGCTGGTCCAGCAGAATGCGCTCATCCTCAAGGCAGCGGCATTGCGGCAAACAGTGCAAAACATAGCACAACTGGGTCAGGTGCGCAGCCTGGCAAGCACATTCTTCCCTGAAGACAGCCAGAGTCAACTCTGGCACTCGAAAAGCACCTGCTGCCTGTGCCCAGCCACCGTCAGCAGCAGCATTTCCCTCAAAAAATGCTGAAAGACAAGCTTCAGACACGAACACTAGATGGCGTACTGAAGCAAGGTTAGTGCAGGCTGCGGCTAGCATGGCCAACAGAACTGGATGTCCTAAACGTATATCTATCCATGGTAGCAAGCCTCCACGCAAGGCTTGTTCTTGAGCACTGCCCTTGGAACTACTGTCCAAAAGAGAAAGGGCCCTACCCAGAATGGCCACTGAGCACTGCACTGACTGACACTGGTCCAGGAGCTGTGGCAGCAGCAGTGTCACATCTTGGACATCAGCAGCTGGTAAAGCAGGTCCCATAAAGCTCCACAAGTGTGTTTACAAAAGCAAGCTGCTTGCTTGGGTCCCTATTGCTGCTGCTAGGTGCCATGCATGAGATGACAGCGATAAACTCCAGCATTGTCCTGCTAGTACAACTGCTCTGTTTTACAAGTTTATGCGCATCACAATTGTAGGCAAATATCTTCTGGATGCAGGTGGACCAGCTGTACAGGTAAAATGCTCCATTCATGCTTGGACAGGGAACCAAGTGTGCTAGCTATGAATGTGGTCATATCTTCACGCCATGCAAGAGTGGAAAGAAGTTCAGCAAAGCATGAGTAGTATTCCACTGCACATTCAGGCATTAGCTGCTGTACGTGATGAAGGCGCTCTTTCCAAGGCACTTCCACAAACACTTTCACCAAAAAGTTTAGGTGACTGGAGTACTTTCCTTCCAATAGTTTGCAAGCCAGTCTCATGTCATCCACAGAGGGAGAAAAATGCGACCACGGCAGTGTTCCAAAAGCATTTTGGACAGTCACAATGACATAATCTGGGGGGTCAGTCCATACATACTTAATGAAATAGTGGTGCCAGACGAGTGACAGGACATTGACATTCCAGGTATCGTGGCAGCAGCTGATGGAGGAATGCCAGTACAGTAGCCAGAGAGTTCACCATGCAAGCAGCCTCTTTCGCATCTCCTGGTAGCCATGGTACATATATACTCTTGCCATCACTTAATTCAAGCCAAGGTCCATAGAGCAGTAGAACAGTCTTAGCAGCCTCTTAGCAAGTTTTCATTAGGAGCCTTTAGGTTTTCCCAAATATAGCAGTGTGCAATCACTGTGAAGAAGCGAGGCAACACAGGGAGAAAAGGTTTCACTCGATTGTATAAGCCATTTCTGACTGTGGATGCATCAGACTTCCTAAGTTCTGCAAAGCTGTTAACAATGGCATTTATAGTGTCTGTTGTCTCAGCTAAGGACAAGAAGCACTGATGCTTTGCATACTCCTCGTCATATTCTTTCGCTACTTCATCTGGCATGCAGTAGCCAAGTGCTTGCAGAAAGACGCCCCAGGTAGCCACTGGAATGGAGCACGATACTGTGCCTCTGAGAAGCATAGCAAGGACTACTGAATAGTGCTCAGGGAAGTGAAATAGTAGCAAGTTATGTAAATGCACATGGAACACTTCAATTAGTGGCAGCAAAGCTTCTGGTGGGTTAATGCTGCATTTACATAGTGCTGTTTCTATGGACTCTAGCAACTTTTCTCGTACAGCTCCATTGGGCTGACAGCTGGTCAGCCAACATGGCAATTCAAACTTTGACAAAAGCACAAAGATTGCATTGTACAGGCTTGGGACAATGCATGAGCTTACAGACTGGTACATAAGGGCATATTGATCTTCATTTGCTGCTGTCGGACTAAAGAAAGGTGCTACATGACCAACTGTGCGGGGATCATTAAGGATTGCTAACAACACAGGCAGGCATTGGTCAGCTCGATTGGACACAAACTCTTCTCCTACCATGTCCAGGCACAATGTTATGAACTGTCTTGTGGGTGCATAATCCACCATCTCCTTGTGCAGCGACCCAACCAAGTCAAAAAACAATTGACTTCCAAGAGCCTCCTAGGGCTTCCTTAGTGGCTGAGGAAACTTGACGGTTTCGCTGTACGAGCTGAGTAAGGCAAGCTTCAAGCTGCACCTGTGCACAGCAGCAGGCATGTGGTGGAGGACGCTGTAGCTCTGTCAGAGTGCCAATCCACTCAGTTCTGTTTTGTTCGACCTTGTGCATAATTTCAGTAGCCTGACGAGCTTCATAGTACTGCAGTCTCAGATGAAGGGGACCTTTGCATTCCTCACGATAGTCACAAGGTACAGCCAAGTGCACATATGCAGCAACATTATCATAGAGTGCAGGTAGCAGCTGCTCTCGGCAGACATGATCCAACTTGGTTAGCTTATATAACTGGTTAGTCACTGTGCTGGCATGGCCCAATAGCACTTTCAGCTGAGTGGACACCAGCTCCTGCACTTGTGGTGCAAGGTAAGGCACAGCAGGAATAATGGGTCGTAATGTTGGCACAGGGGGTGCTGGCATTGGCCCTTCATACGTCTTGAGTCGAGAAATGATGCGCTCTTCAGAAGAATCCTCACATGGCTGCCTGTTCCTACAAGGGCGGCTGACGTGTGGCTCCTCTACTTGTAGCAGGCGTTGCAGCTCACTTCGCCCATGCTCTAAGGAGACGAGGTGATGCCAGGGATGGTTGTTTCCTTGAATGATAGCACACAGTGCTTCAGGGCAATACTGGGAAGGCAAGGCACTAAAATCAATGCTGGACGTCTGAAGACGAGGCTCTTCCAACCACAAGCCAAATGTACGATACATCTTGAGCAGCGTTTCAAAGAGATCTTTTAACATTCCATCCTTTGTGGCACACTGTTGGAAGGAATGGTCTGCCAATTCATTCAAACGCCGCTTGAGTTTTTTGAGCAAAGGGAAGTACTTAGCACTTTCAAAGAAACGTGGGCCCACACTGTTGCCATTTGGACATCTCTGCAAGTAGAGGGAGAAAAACTGCTGCCATATCAGAGGGAGAGCTGGATGGTCTGCTTCAGTCTGCAAGGCCTGATTGGCCCATCTGTACAGCAAGTGAACATCTACAGGTGCTTGCATTGTTTTTTTAATAACAACTTCAACTGACACCTGTGGCGACTGTGCCATGGCTGAGAGAAGAGCTTTCCAAGCAGAGGCCACTTCAGGAAGCTGAGCTTCCGCAAGCATTCCCACCAAGGCAAACCACGGATATTGTGGCACAGAGTTTAGAGGAACTACAGCTGGCCAAGAGGCAGTCTGGTTGCCTAGCACATAGGAGAACACTGTCCTCATCATAGACTGTGAGGCTGATGGAGCAGCAAGGTTGGCAAGCAGTTCTGTAAGTTGTGCTACGACGCTCTCAAAACAGTCTGCCTCAAAATAAGCCAACTGTACCAGAACATCAAGAAGGTACATAACATTTTCCCTGCCCTTGGATTTGTACACCGCCCTATGCATGGGAATATCTGGAAGGTGAAATAGCAGCAGTGTCCAAAGCTTAATAGGCAGTGATGGGAGGCCCCACTGTTTTGCTTGGTGGACGTGACTGGTCATGGTGGCAGCAAGCTGCTTCAGCACACAACCTGGATGCTCGGATCCGACAAGGCTTTTAGCTGCTGCCAGGTATGTGTTATCAGCCACCACTAAGCGCTGCAAGTTCTCCAAGAACTGCTGGCTAGCGGTAAGCATCTCCTGGTGCAAGTAGAATAGTGGCATAATGTGGCATATGCACTTTACTGCTGCTGCAAATTGCTCACCGAGTGTAAGACTTGACAGGAGCTTAAGGCCAGCACTAAGCACTTGCTCTCTATAGTGACCGATGCTTCCCACAGAAATGGACAAGAAGACAGCTGGAGGGCAGAGGTTCTTGCTGGCCTGAAAAATAGGGTGTAGCCACTCGCACTGTTCCAAGTCTGGTGCAATGTCTTGGGGAGGATTTTCATCAAGGATAAGGCGCAGCTGGCCTTGGTGTCTACTGTCAAAAGCATGCAGCTTTAGTCGAAACATGATTGTCCAAATCCAGGAGACAAATCCCATGGGTGTAGAAGACTCTCCATTAGTACCTGTGGCCAAGTAGGACAAGTAGCGGACCTGCTTGTAAACATACCCTGCAGCTTCAAATGGCACACAAATCTTTTCATAGGCTTCAAGCAGTAGCAATGCAAGCTGTTGGTGCAGGCTTTGATCAAGAAAGAGTTGGCCTTGTTCACCAAATCCGTAGTTGAGGTTCTCAATCAGCAGTCGAGCCAGCTGACTCTGCGGAGAATCAAGAGGGTAATAGAGGAGAAAATGGGCAATCACATCCAGGTCTTGTTTGTCAGGCAGCCATAGGTGTAGTGGCATGGCTTGCATTAGGTAGCATGCCATCGTGCCCAGTGCCATCACGTGGTCATCGACTGCGTCCAGTAGTACTGACACAACACATGGTTGTTTCTGTGCAAGTGATGACAGCAAGTCCCGTCCTTCCTTAGCAAACTGCTGCCTCAAGTTTCTATTGAGGTAAGTAATCTGAAATATTTCAATGGCCACAATGTGTGCAAAAGCACGCCCTTCCTCCTCTCGAGATGCAGCCATGTTAGCAAATGAAGTCATCAAGAAGTACACTTCTGACTGGGGCATGCTGCACAGTTTTTCCTCAAAGCACAGTTTATGGCTTTTGTCTTGCAGCTTTTCACAGATTTCACTTGGAGCTAAAAGGGTATTCTGAACCTCCTCTTGGTAACTGTTGTGCAGAAGCCAGAGTAACTGCCACAGCATCACAGTGGATACTGAAGTGTACGGAAGGATAGCCATAAACTGCCACGCACCAGTGCTCTGTGAGTAGAATATGCAGTTTACCGCACGCAGGAAGAACTGATCATACTCAACTTGAAGCCGCATTAGAAGAGCAGAGTCCCCTGCACTTTGTGCTTGCATTAGCCGGAAGCACCTCCAGTGGTCTGACACATACTGAACTGTGTGACGAATCAGGCGACTGAATCTTTTTGTTAGCTGCCTGTACCTTGAATGGTTATACGTCTTCAGTCCAGTATGGAAGATTGAGACCAGCTGTGATGCCACTGCAATTAGTTTAAGAACACTTTGTTCTGAACTCCGAGTCACATCATACTCTTCAGGTGTAACAAAAAGAAGGTGTCGGAAAATAGTAGCGAAAGGTACTTGATTCACCAGAGCAACCACATCATTCTCCCTCCAATAAACCACAGAAGGTGGATCATCCTCTTCTCCATCAGAATCAAGTACTACCCAAGGGTCTTGTCCAGCAGCAGCATCTAAGGCACTCTGCAGAGGTTGCAGGTACTCTTCACGATTTTCTACTGGCAACAGAACTGTTGCCAGAGCGGCCAAGGCATAGTCTAGTTGTGGGCAGCCCAGGGTAGCTTGGTGCCAGTCAGTGTGTTCATTCCATGGCAATGGGCTTGGCACTTGGACTAAGCTGATGGCCCACTTGTGTATTCCTGGAGGACAGCGTAACACATGGCACAGCAAAAAAAAGTGGTCCGCAAGTGAGGCTACACGTAACAAGAGGCTGGCCAGCATACGAAGCCATGACTGCACATCATTCACAAATACCTCATCTTGAACTGCCTTTCTCAGAAACACGAAAAGCACACTAATGCAGGTTCTCAGCTGAGAAACATCTTCTGTGAGCTGTGGCTGTGTCCCAGCACTAATGGGCATGTTCTTTGGTATGTCCCGAAATGTAGGTTTATCCAGCATCACTTGAAAGTAGTAATCAATTTGGATCCGTAGAGTGCTAGCATTGTGCATGTACAGAACATGCTTCTCTGCGAGTAACTTGAGTAGCTTTTGAGATGACGATGTGAGCAGTGACGCCGCATCATCATTATATAGGGCACGCTGAAAATAATGCTCCCCAGTAACTCGTTTGTTATCTGCACACCTCCCTTTTCCAGTAACAACATCCGGCACAATGTCCCACACGCAGGCTTCATGCTTCCCAATGTCCTCTTCCAGTTCACGCACAGTGCACACTGTAGCAGCAAGTAGTTCTCTGGATCGCAGGTAGTTTTCCAAGAGCTTGTAGAGTTCATGATGGTTCAGTCTCTTTTCTTGATTCAGGCTTACGAATTCCGCCACTAATGTTTTTCTTTCATAAAGCCAGGCATTTTGGTACAAAGCAATTACCTGCTCTTCAGTGAATGGGCGCATAGTCGTTCGGCTTTTCGGTATCTCTGAAAGCTCAGGGTAAAGCCTGCCAAAGCTTTTGCTTCTTCCATGCGCATCATCGCAACGGGCAGTGGCAGCGGCACTTTCTTCGATGCCTGAATCACGAATGTCCACCGAGCTCTTTGCGCCAGGAGAGGTGGGAAATGCATAAAGGTTACCGAAACATTCGCTTGGGGCAGTTGGTACCTCAGGCTGAACGGTCGAGGGTGGTGTCTCCGCCAGCTGCGCAGTACTCAGCTCTTCAGCATTTACTTCAGGTGTGACTATCGCAATCGGTGCCTTTGACAGCTGTGCAGTACTGAATTCCTCGGCCTTTACCTCCGGTTGGACGGCCGAGATCGGTGCAGTGCCCAAATCTTTGCTTTGTATCTCAGGTTGGAGTGTCAAGATCGGTGCCTCCGACGGCTGCGCGATGTTGTGCTCCCCATTGCTCGGTAGTTCACGACAGGAACTCTGTTGCAGGTCTGTGCCATCACGGTTCGTCGGTTCCTCGTAGGAAACTTCTGATGTTGCCGTAAAAAGCCCAGTACTGTCTTCCGAGTGGCAAGCTTCGTTCTGCCGTTCATTATCGGCTTCAGCGTATGAAGGCGAACGGGCGTTGTCCGGATGCGCAGATGACGGCCGCGCGGTATCGGGTGCAGCGAAAGGTGCGTCGCAGCTATCACCAGTTCGAGTGCGTTCACACAATGGTTTGTTTACGGCACCACTTGCTTCAACATCTGTTGCTACGGCAGCCGAGTCAGCAGAAGTTTCACCTTTGTGAAGGGGTTGTTGCTTCTTTCGAGCTCTCTTCTTCGTTTTTACCTGCTCCATAATATTTTTTTCATAATAAACAAGCTAAGCGTATCAAGGGGCTGGGTGCACATAGATACCGAGAGCAGCTGATCTTACGTCAGATTTGATTGGCTACTGTTGGCTACTGGTTGTTGCTTGGCCCGGCTGGCTATCATTTGTTTGCACATTTTATGCTAGCTCAAGATAGAGTGTATTAGTACTCAAGACTATGAAGTTTCAAGTAACTTTTACGACCGCATTAGCTACCTCATCTCACCCAACATTTATCAGCTTTTGAACAGTTGCTAAATGTACCTTCCACGCAACACAAAAATAGTTTTTTTACATTTTGTTTTTTAAATTATTGACCTCAAACGCATACATGTTTAGTCTTCCACATTCACAATATACATAAAGTAACATTGAGTTTTTATTAAAACAATGCATTAAACAAATTTTTCTTGCTGGATGGTTTTTAGGTTATTACTACACTAAACGCTTTATAATGGTGAATCAGCGGCCTTTCTTCAAGTAACTTTTGTTCTTTTCACCTGCTTCTTTCGTTTATGTTTCTTTTTGCAGTTTTGCGTGCGGCTGTTGGATGTGTACGGCTGTTACGTACGGCTGTACTGCGTTTTTCACTCTTGTGGTCGTTTTGTGCGATGCATGCGGTACGATCTTCCTTCAAGATGAATGATGGAACACTGGTAAGGAGCTAACGCAATGCTACTTTCATACCTACCCTACTTTCCTTTTAGTTCCGCGCTGTTTCCCCAGCCACTGTTGAACCGAAATTAGGCGTTGTCTACTGAGTGATCAAAACGCCGGAATATTTCTCTGTTGGTCCGTAGTAATCTTGGGTACTTTACAGCCTTTTCAGTTTTCAGACGTATATATAACACCACATGTCATAATTGATTGCGGCTGCAGTACAGGGTCGATGTAGCTTCGCGCTGTGTCTTTCTTTGCGGTCTTTTTATACTGGTCGAGCGCTACCAAAATGTTCGGCTTAATTGTCAGATCCGGCTGCTCCGGAGTTGTAGCGGCACTCTTCTCGTCCCCGACCACCCTTTACGCAGTCGAGCGAGAACTTAATTGGTGGCGAATCCCTTACGCTTGTGCGCTCTGTATTATTTTTTTTCTCTCCCGGCGTGCATTCGTCTGTACTGCTCTTCAATATGGGCTGTCATCGTAACGAGTGCGCCAACTGCAAAGGTGCCAAAGAGAGCTCAGATCAGCCTTGGAAAATAGATATTTTAAGGCACGTACTGTAACTTTCTTTTTATTTTCTTCTTCGGCACCTTAATTACCCTTCCGATAATGATTTGTTCATATAATATCCACAGTAACAGCTGTGCGCACAGATGACCAAGAAAATATGACGGAAGAACTTTAACAAAAAAAAATAAAAAGCTTCGCCGTTCTTTACTGACGGCTTGGTTGTGTAACGAAGTTTATTTCGAAACGTCTGCTGTAGAACCGCGTTCATACGTTTCTGATCAAAAAAGAAAAAAAAAACTGGGTAGAAAAACTTACTGCTACTATAAGGGAAAAGATACAATTAAAATTCAATAATACATCGCGCAGTATTGCTTGATAGTGTTAGTGACTATTGACACTGGGAAATCATACCGAATGAGAATGTATCAACAAGGTTCAACTGTAGTAGTGGTGTGCTCAAATTGTGCTAAAGTTTCTGTGCACATTACTCTGCAATGACTGTTCATTAACCCAGTCTCACTAAAAAGCGCTTTAGTTTTGTAGCTCATCATGCAGATCAGTGTGCCCAGAAAGCAATTACTCAGTGCCCTGCTTTCCTTATTATTTTTAGTTTCGTGTATCAATACTACAATTGCAAAATGTGTTTTTATCAAGGTGGTACCGTCACTGCTGACATCAGTGATATGTCATGGCATATAATTAATTGGCTATCTGATCTCTCATAGTAGAGTAGATAGTAATTGAACTCATTTACATGTTTTCCAAACACACAGCATGAACCTGCATGGCTGCTCGCTGGGCATATTTTGATTTTAATTTGGCTTTAATCATTGAAATATAAATAGAGTAATAGTAATATGTAATGGAAAGACAAGGCACAACTAGACTGCTCACAGAAAAATGTGAAAACCCCTTTCATATAGTGACAAATGTTTATCTCATGACAAAATATGTTCATATATTGTGCAGCCCGGAAGCTAACTAGGATATGAGAAGCTGGGAATAAAACAAAAAAAGTATAAACAATGTACCCTACTTGTGTGTGTTTAAATGCCTAAAGAAAGCGACCCACCCCATTTTGTCCCTGTGATTTTAAGTAGTGCCTGCATTAATTGAAAATCTACCCATGTTGTCCGGCACCTATTACTTTGATGCAGTTTTATTGTCTGCCTGCATTTTTTCCGAGCTAGGAGTGGGCTTGTGTCTCATTCCATAAATAATCATAGGCAGCCCATCGTAATATATAATTATAATAATATTAATAGTCTTTATTACTCACTTCATAAAAAGTAGTATACATATCAGGCCTGCCAAAGCCACATAGGGCTTGAGTGGAAAAACAGCAGCGACATAACAGCAATTTTTGAAGTTAAGCATTTACTTACATGACAAAATGGTATAGAATAGAAACAGCACACGAAAGAGAACAAGCACTTCACTTACGACGATAAATAAATAATTCGCCTTAGAACCTTTTTGTAATTTATGTCTAGTCTGGATGTGAAAGAAATCTGCGCACTACTACAGTTGGATACTGATTAAAAGAATGCATTGCTGGGGGAGTTTGTGCATTGTCTTAACAATAAAACTAGAATGCGAAAGACAAAGATTTTAAGATGGCATAAAAAGTAAGGAGAGCCCCTTCCCAGATGACCCAAGCTTGGCAGCTGATTTTCTCTGCGACGAAATTGTTGTCATGCCCTTGGTGATGCTCCCTAGCGGTGGGGACAGCGACCCAGGCTTATGATGTCAGTCTAGAATGTGGGCTCATTGGTGTCAAGGCTACAGCAATGAGCACAGTCTGGAGGCATGCGCGCTCCTCGAGAGTGACGGTGCGCCTGCTAAACTACTTTGGTCCAGAGCCGCTAAGGTTCTGTGCGTTTAATTTCTTGAATTTCATTGGAAGCGGGGTTGCGTTGCATAGTACGTTTGAATACCGATTGCGCTACTGGCCCCTCCTACTAAGCTCTCACTGCTGTGTACAGGAGGTGTGCTGAGCACATGGTAGCCAGGTGACAGTGGCAGCCCATGGCGGGGTGTCATTCCGAGGGGGGGTCCCCCAGCAGCCCCCCCAAGGAGGAGGACCTCCGACCAGCGACGGGGGCAGGCCGCATCCTGGCTGTCCAAGTACACTTGCTCGATGAGACAGTCACCACATTCAATGTGCAGGTAAGTTGCTAGAAAAAAATGTTACTTCATGTTAGTGTCTGTGAACTTGCCCTGTCACTGTGGGAATGAAGAGTAATTGGGGTGTTTGGTTAACATGTACTTGTATAGAATTTCTCACAAAAATACCTTGAGGGAAATCTGGTGTCACCATATATGCAAATTTAAGGTGTGCCATTGGAGCGCTAGGAATGATGGTATATGTGTCGGCGAGGCTTGTGTACTGCCGTTGAGCAAGGCTTCAGCTCAAAAGCAGATACGGCTGCACAAATAAAGCCTCTCTAAAACAAAGGTATTGTAAAATGACCTCATTCATGCGTATCATATTCTAAAATAAAAGTCCACTTACTTTAACGGCACAACCAAACGGTGAAAAAAAGAAACAGACTACATAAAGTCGCAGAGAGAACGCTCGCTTTGTTGTCTGCCTGCCAAGTTTAGCAGCTGTTGGTTACTTTTTACGCTGTGTAAAATTGTACATTGGCACTGAAGTTTCTAGTGTCAAATAAAACACGTTTCCATGAAATGACAAAACAGTAAATAGCTTATTACGTGCTCTCTTAGTAGGAGATCAACCATTTTGACGCAAGGAACGTCTTGATGCCAAACATGTCTTCGAAATTTCGGGGCTGTGCGTTAACGATACAAATCCGAATCGAGTTTGAAGCTCACATATACCGTCAATCCCTGGCATCCAGCAGCTCACTAGTGCCAGATTTTCCTCTAAGATAAATTTGTGGGAAACTCTGTGTGTTCATGTATAATGAGCTGTAGATTGATTTAGCAGGCTCATTGTTAGTGTTCAGTAATATTGTGTCATCATTATGTGATATGAAAACATAAATCTGTTTTGGTTTTATTAATCTGTGTATGCATCTAGGTTGTAATGGCGCTGTGCAGCTACTGGTAGTGGACGCATATTCTTGGCTTTATACTTGGCTAACACTGCAGCTTGTTTCTATATTGTACGCTATATGGCCCTGTGTCGTACATACCTAGGTGTGAGTAGACAGGTCAGGCGATCACAATGAAGTTTCTGGGCAGGAACGTGGAGAGACATGAAAAATTATGATTTTACAAACGTCCAGCCTCTGTGTTTATTCAGAATAAGTATTTAAAATGATATGCACAGTTTGTCTTGCTCATTCTCTATGTGAAAGATGATGTGCATTGGCATATTACTATTTCTTGGCACTGTTCGTACCCCTCTGGAAATTATGTGCTTCTTTAAACATAAGTAGGCAAAACGCTAGAAGCACAAATAGTTTAGCCTTTGTGCATAGTGGTTTTCCACTTATATAAAAGTGGCACCTAGAGAGGAGTGTGGTGTAGCGCACGGTATTCAGCTGCCAGTGTATATACGCAGTATTGCATTAAAGCGTGTTGCCTCACAGGTTTAACTGAATGGGGTGATTTAATTGATTAGAGGCTCCATCATAAAACAACACACACACACGCACACACGCACGCACGCACGCGCGCGCGCGAAGATGTAAAAGGAATGAACTGGCTATACAAGTGCTAAGTGGCACCTGCATTTTTATTCTGAAAAGCAGTAAATGTATCCATACAGTAGATCATCATGTAATGCAACATATGCATCACATGACATACATAGGCGTACCAGCCAGGGGGGGCGGGGCAAGGGGGCGCGAGCTTCCCCACTTTCGACAGTGGTCACTCTTGGCTGCACGCTGGAGAAATGAACAAGTAAGGTGTAGTTTTCCATCACAACAGTAATTACTCAATTGTGTTCCTACAGGAGAATGAAATTGTTAATGAGGCTATTTTACAACATAGTGAAATTTTGCCGACATTGCCGCTTTGATGATTTTTCTTGTGTGTGTGTGTGTGTGTGTGTGTATACACACACACACGCACACACACACACACACACACATATATATATATGAGATCTAACAGAAAGTAATGCCAAGTAATGTACAGGGAAAGTTATTAGAACCAATGGAATATAAATAAGAAGAAAGAAAAGTGGATGAAAAAATAACCAGCCGTTCTAATAACTTCCCCTGTACATTACTTGGCATTACTGTCTGTTAGATCTCATTAATATTGTGTTGAAACACGGAAAAACGAGCCCTTAGGTATACACTTGTTTCCCTTATTATATATATTGCCACGTGCCGTGCCGTTCTGCGCAGCTGCCACTATAGAGCGACAGCCGTCGCGTCATTTAGATAGGCTAGAGCGGACTGCGATTAACTTCCGATGGGCCCATCGTATCAGACAGTGCAGTATCTGATGATAGATGTGCGCATGTTCTGTGTTGTCTTCTCAGCGCTTAAATAACTGGCAGCTGTGGGTTGTTCTTTGGTGGAACGGCAGCTGTGCGTGGGCACGCCGCTCCGATCCTGTTAGTGTTCCTTTTGTGTCCTAAGCGAGAGGCACAAGTACGCCTCCTTACTAATAAACCTTGTCTGCCGCACCCTCGTCTTCTGTGGCTTCCAGTGACGATGACGCACGTGACAATATATATATATATATACCTCGACCCTCGACTGACGAGTTAGGTAGGCTTGCCCCCCCCACTCGCGAAAGAGTTGGTATGCCAACTCGCCCACTTTCAACTTGCCCAGTTCGCTATTTTCCCTTAAAAGGCCTGGTCCCGAGTGGCCTTTTTCTTTTGTTCTTTTCATTGTGCTCCACTTACCTGAACAAGCAGTTTTACCTGCTATTTGTGCAAATACTAGTGGCTGTCCTTAGGTTTTTCAGTATGGAGGAAGCATTTTGTCGGGGCTTAAAAGTGCGGGGCCCCTTTTGAGGCAATATATTGACACTAGTCTAACTTTATATAGAATAGAAAAAGGGTTGTCTTCTCAGCGCTTAAATAACTGGCAGCGCGTAAGCTGTGGGTTGTTCTTTGGTGGAACGGCAGCTGTGCGTGGGCACGCCGCTCCGATCCTGTTAGTGTTCCTTTTGTGTCCTAAGCGAGAGGCACAAGTACGCCTCCTTACTAATAAACCTTGTCTGCCGCACCCTCGTCTTCTGTGGCTTCCAGTGACGACGATGCACGTGACATCTGGTGGAGGTGCGGGGTATGTTCAGTAACTCCTCGCGCAGCCGTGACACCAGTCCTCACCAAGCAAAGGAAGACGACCAGAGAAGAAGCCGCCGACAGCTAGGACTTCCCCCAGAGCACGGCCTCCTTCCAGAAAAACCACCTGCCATGAAAGAAGCCAGGCCTGTCAAGATGAGTGAAGCCCAGTTGCCAACAGCCGTCGTATTGCAGCAACCCCGTGAACCCCCTAAATTCCGCGGAACGCAGTGCGACGACCCCGAGGACTAGCTGGAACAGTTCGAGCGCGTGGCGGCCATCAACAAGTGGAATGACGAAGCGAAGTTGCAGTGGGTCTACTTTACACTGGAAGAGTCTGCGCGTACCTGGTTTATCAACCACGAATCCGTGCTAAGGACGTGGGAGGACTTCAAAGGCAGCCTTCTTTGGACGTTTTCAAGCGTCGCTCGCAAGGAACGGGCGGAGAGGCAGCTGTATTCACGCTTCCAGGTGCCTAACGAGAGCGTCGCTGTCTTTGTCGAAGAAATGAAGCATCTATTTGGTCGAGCAGATCCGGAAATGCCAGAGGAAAAAAAACTCGGATTCCTTATCAGAGTAGTGAAGGAAGAACTTTTTGCTGTATTAATGCGCAATAAACCGCAAACTGTCTCCCAATTTGTAACGGAAGCAGCCGCCATGGAAAAGATTCTCGATGTGCGGCGGAGACAGTATGGACACCCTGCTCCGGTAGGCGGTGCGTCGCCAGCCGAGCTTAATGCTGTAACCGTCAGCAACCTTCGGGACACCATAAAGGCTGTTGTGCAAGAGGAACTACGGAAGATGTTCCCCAGTTCTTGTCCTCAAGTCGCGACCTTGAGCGATGTTGTCAGACAAGAAGTTCAGCAGGCGCTGGGAACCGGACCATTAGTTCCACCTAGCCGGGAGCCTGAGTGGGCTCCACGAGGACCGCAAATCATGTCGTACGCCGCGGCCGCGCGCAACCCGGTGCACCCCGCCCAACCAACGTACTCTCCACTGCCACGCCCACAACCAAATGTCTACCGACCTCCTGCCGAAAAAGCCGTCCCTAGAAAGTCCGACGTGTGGAGGACTGATGACCATCGCCCGCTGTGTTTCCACTGCGGTGAACCTGGCCACTTGTACCGTAACTGTTTCTATAGGAACCTCGGATTACGTGGATTTCACGTCGGCGCTTCACGTCCGCAACCTGGTGAAAGGCCAGCTGAGATTGAAGACTATTTGCAGCGACAAAGTTTGCCAGCGGGCCGCTGCAGGTCACCATCGCCTTCGTCTCGCCGTTACCCATCGCCACACCCTGCCAACACAGGAGCATCACGGGGAAGATTTCTAGCCCTCATTTGGGAAACTAAAGACGGCAACCAATAAAGGTGTGGTTGCTGCCCGGCGCACCCCTGAAAAACCTCTCCCGCCCGAAAGTCCCAGTGGAGCAACACTACCTGCAGCATGTGAGAGACACGAGCGACATATCAGCACTAAGTTCCGTCCAAGCCGCAACAGTACACCACGACAGACCTGCAACGCCAAGGTAAAATCGACCGATCTGGCAGTGAAAATCGACAACCGGGACGTAATTGCGTTGGTTGATACCGGTGCTGATTTCTCCGTCATGAGTGCGGTGTTCGCCGACCAGTTGAAGAAGGTGCTGACTTCGTGGGAAGGCCCGCAGGTACGAACAGCAGGCGGTCACGTCGTAACACCAAAATGAAGATGCACAGCTCGTGTGGATGTGGAAGGGCATACGTACCCTACTGTTTTCGTCGTCCTGGACCAGTGCTCTCGGAACGTCATTCTCGGTGCGGACTTCCTTTCGACGAACAAAGCAATCATAGATCTTCAAGCGCAAACAATCACTCTGTCACCAGATACGGGCGTCACGCGAAATCCAAGTCCTGCATTATCAGCGGCGCTAATGATTCTCGACGAGCACGTCACTATGCCACCACGCACGAGTGCTGTCATCCCCATGGGCGCTGACAGCTGCATCTGCGCGGAAGGTTTGGTCGAGGCCAACCAGAGTTTGCTCTTTAAAAAGGTTTGGCTATCGCCAGAGGAATCGTTCACATCGTTGAAGGAACCGTCAGTGTACTAATCACTAATTTCTGCTCGGAATATTGTCACCTTGCAAAGGGCACCACTGTGGCACTATTCGAGACCATCCCGGACATAAGCGATGTACACACGATCGACGACACACTCCATCCTCGTACACCCGACGTGTTCTTTAACGTGAATCCGGAGTTGCCCCTGGAAAGACACGAAAGGCTGCGGAAACTGCTCTATAGCTACCAGGATTGTTTCGCCACGTCACCCAAGATCCGCCAGACAACGCTTGTAAAACATCGCATCATAACTGATGAAAATGTGCAACCAAGTCACCAATCGCCATATCGTGTGTCCATGAAAGAGCGCGAGGCAATCCGGAAACAGGTACAAGAAATGCTTCATGACAACATCATTGAGCCCTCCCAAAGCCCGTGGGCTTCCCCTGTAGTGATCGTGAAAAAACGGGACGGCACTCCAAGATTCTGCGTCGACTATCGCCGACTCAATAAGGTAACGAGAAAGGACGTTTATCCGCTCCCTCGAATTGATGACGCCCTCGATCGTCTCTGCAATGCCAGATACTTTTCATCTATGGATCTAAGGACTGGCTACTGGCAGGTGGAAGTTGACGAAAGGGATCGCGAAAAGACGGTGTTTATTACACCAGATGGACTATACCAGTTTAAAGTCATGCCATTTGGACTTTGCACTGCCCCTGCAACTTTCCAAAGGGTAATGGACACCGTATTGGCTGGCCTGAAATGGCAAATATGTTTGGTGTATTTGTACGACGTCATAGTCTTCGCTCCATCTTTTGAGGAACACATCAGCAGGTTAAAAGTGGTACTTGATGCACATAAGGCTTCAGGACTTACGTTAATGCCCGAAAAATGCCGTTTTGCCTACGAGCAGCTGAAGTTCCTTGGTCACGTCGTCAGTTCTGCCGGCGTTCTACCAGACCCAGAGAAGACAGCTGCAGTTCGAGACTTCCCGCAGCCCCGCGAAAAGAAGAGCCTCCGAAGCTTCCTCGGACTTTGCACTTACTATAGGCGCTTTGTCAAGGACTTCTCGCAGGTCTCCGAGCCCCTGACATGTCTAACGAAAGAAGACAGCTCGTTTGTGCGGGAGGCACCCCAAGAAGAAGCGTTTCGGGAGCTCAAAAGACGTCTTCAAGCGCCCCCCATTTTGGCCCACTTTGACGAGAACGCGGCAACAGAAATCCACACCGACGCCAGCAGTGTCGGCCTCGGTGCCGTTCTTGTTCAAAGGCGGGATGGACGAGAACACGTCATCGCCTACGCCAGTCGATCTTTGTCTAAGGCAGAGTACAATTATTCCACGACCGAAAAGGAATGCTTGGCAATTGTGTGGGCAACTTCCAAATTCCGCCCATATTTGTACGGCAGGCCTTTTACCGTCATTACCGACCACCATGCTTTATTCTGGCTTGCGAACCTAAAGGATCCATCCGGACGTCTCGCAAGGTGGAGCTAGCGGCTCCAGGAGTTCGACATATCGGTAGTGCACAAGAACGGAAGAACGCATTCCGACGCAGATTGTCTGTCTCGAGCCCCGGTTGAGCAACCACCACCGTGTGCAGACGACGACGCCAGTTTTTTGGGCATGATCACCGCTTCCGACTTAGCCGCCCAACAACGGGCCGACCCTGAACTGAACTGTCTCATCTTGAAGGAAAACGTACGGAGATACCCAAAACTTTCAGGCGTGCTCTTCACACATTCTGCTTAAAAGACGGTGTCCTTGTGAAAAAGAACTTCGACTCTAGGAAGAGCACCTACCTTCTCGTCGTGCCGTCGTCATTGCGTCAGGAAATCTTGCAGGCGTCACATGACGAACCAACCTCCGGGCATCTTGGGTGTACACGAACGCTTTCGCGGAGTCGTGAGCGTTACTACTGGCCGCGCATTCTAGAAGACGTCAAGCATTACGTACGGACGTGCCGAGAGTGTCAATGCCGCAAGAGACCGCCAACAAAACCCGCTGGACTACTCCAGCCACTTCAACCCTCAACAAGGCCCATCGAACAAATCGGAATGGACTTTCTGGGACCCTTCCCAATGTCTACCGCAGGAAATAAGTGGATCATTGTGGCGACAGATTACCTGACTCGTTACGCAGAAACCCGCGCCCTTGCTCGAGCCACTGCAGAAGAAGCCGCCAGATTTTTCGTTCACCAAATTGTCCTGCGCCACGGTGCACCTTAGGTCGTTATCACTGACAGAGGGACAGCCTTCTGTTGCGAACTGATGCAAGCCATTTTGCGGTACAGCCACACCACCCATCGCCGAACTATCGCATACCACCCGCAAACTACTGTTCTCACAGAACGGCTCAACAAGACCCTGGCAGACATGATGTCGATGCATGTCGATGTCGAACATAAAACGTGGGATGAAGTGCTCCCATATGTCACCTTCGCATATAATACGGCCGCCCAGGAGACAACCGGGCTGACACCATTCGCTCTTGTTTACGGACGGGAAGCGACAATGACTCTGGACGCAATGTTGCTGCACGTAAACGAAGGCGACCCGAACCCGGACGTAGCGATATTTCAACAACGCGCTGAAGAGGCTAGGCAGCTGGCTCGACTGCGAACCGCAACCAAGCAAGCGACGGATGCCCGACACTACAACCTGCGACACCGCCATCAGGAATACACACCCGGCGAACAAGTTTGGCTATGGGCACCAGTTCGCCGACGAGGCCTCAGCGAAAAGCTTCTGCGGCGTTATTTTGGCTCTTACAAAATTGTTCGTCGTGTAGGGCCACTTATCTATGAAATCGTCCCGGATGGTGTGACAGACTCCCAGCGTCGACGTGTGCGGTCTGAAATTGTCCACGTCGTGCGTTTGAAACCCTATTATGCGCGCTAGCAGACATTATGTGTGCTTGTTTCTCTATTTTTTTTTTTGTGCGAAAACTTCAGTGCCTTATGACTTCAGTGCTTGCTTTCAACATTGAGGCGATGTTCTTGAAGGGGGGAGCAATGCCACGTGCCATGCCGTTCTGCGCAGCTGCCACTATAGAGCGACAGCCGTCGCGTCATCTAGATAGGCTAGAGCGGACTGCGATTAACTTCCGATGGGCCCATCGTATCAGACAGTGCAGTATCTGATGATAGATGTGCGCATGTTCTGTGTTGTCTTCTCAGCGCTTAAATAACTGGCAGCGCGTAAGCTGTGGGTTGTTCTTTAGTGGAACGGCAGCTGTGCGTGGGCACGCCGCTCCGATCCTGTTAGTGTTCCTTTTGTGTCCTAAGCAAGAGGCATAAGTACGCCTCCTTACTAATAAACCTTGTCTGCCGCACCCTCGTCTTCTGTGGCTTCCAGTGACGACGACGCACGTGACAATATATATATATATATATATATATATATATATATATGTGTGTGTGTGTGTGTGTGTGTGTGTGTGTGTGTGTGTGTGTGTGTGTGTGTGTGTGTGTGTGTGTGTATACCTCGACCCTCGACTGACGAGTTAGGTAGGCTTGCCCCCCCCCCCCCCCCCACTCGCGAAAGAGTTGGTATTCCAACTCGCCCACTTTCAACTTACCCAGTTCGCTACTTTCCCCTTAAAGGCCTGGTCCCGAGTAGCCTTTTTCTTTTGTTCTCTTCATTGTGCTCCACTTACCTGAACAAGCAGTTTTACCTGCTATTTGTGCAAATACTAGTGGCTGTCCTTAGGTTCTTCAGTATGAAGGAAGCATTTTGTCAGGGCTTAAAAGTGCAGGGCCCCTTTTGAGGCAATATATTGACACTAGTCTAACGTTATATAGAATAGAAAAAGGGTTGCCTGTTGGAATATCGGCTGCCAAAGTGTTCTAAAGCTCTGCATTTCAGTACTGTGACAAGGACTAGGGCTGTATATTGTGAATGACACATTGTCTAATGAAGACTTGTACACACTGGTTCTCAATGTCTTATTTACCATTCGTGCGCCAACGTTACAAGATTGTGCCACTATAGGGCTTGTTGCTTTGGTAGGATGGCTTAGTTGTCTTTTGCTTTCAGTACAAGGCAGCTGGTCGTGTTCTGTTTGACCAAGTCTGCCGTGTCATCAACCTGCTTGAAGTGGACTACTTTGGCCTTGAGTATGCTGATAGCAGTGGGACCAAGGCAAGCACCTTTTTTCATTTCACTCATCAATATAGCAAGTTGCTAGCACATGCTGGCTTCTAATACTTTTTGTTCATATCGCTGTCATTAGATTTTCTAATATAGGACAAGAAGTGTTTTAGAGCATAATATGGCAACGTAGATGATTGTGAGCCACTGCTCTTCACCCAAATAGAAGACATCAACTTCAGGAAAAATATAAAGCACAACAAAAAAAGTGACAACTTACAAAATGCCAAAACTTGTCCCAGGAACAATGCACTTATGAAAAGCCTGTTTATTTGTTGAAAAAAGTGCCTTTTAGTTCCCAACTGCTTTTGCGTGGAATTAGTCCTTTCTGTGGCATTTGGAGTATGCCTTCTTTCTACTACTTTGTGGCATACCGAAAAATCCTGTGACATCTTTTTTCTTCTGGATGAAGATCACTTCCAAGGTAGCTAGCGTTGTCTGCAGAGTCCTTTTGCTCACCAATCAAGATCATTTGCTACTATCAATAGACTGTTGTGTTCAGTGCTGCTGCGACTCTTGCTTTTGTAACACAGCAACAACACTATCTCAAATTCTGTACGAACACATGGAAAAAACTTATGGAACACAGAACACCACATAGAGTGTGTGATATGTTACACTGACACATGGCCTTCTTAGTAGTGCTTCTGCTTCAAAAAGCACTAGCTAGCTTATGGCTTCCAAGATGCATATGATAGTGCTGAATCTTGGCAGTCATGGCCATCTAACTTCCTGCTACCGGGAAAGAAGCCTTTCTACTTTGGCAGTCTATCGTATGGTGCATTTGGAAAAGATGTGTGCACTATCAATTATGTCCACTTTACCCACTTGAGCATTATACTCGCAGTAGTTTCAACTTATTGCCCCATTCTTCCTTCGTGGCCTCAGTGAAATGATTTATATTGAACTTATTTTGGTGTAAGATGCAACTTTGTTACTATGAGGTTTGAGTATACATGGTTTGCTGTGGGCACAACTTATAAAGAATTAGATCATTTGTTTTATAGTGAATTTCATTATAATCCCATCTTCTTTGTTTTGGTTTACATTTACATTCTCGTGGGTCAGGTCAACTGTTAATTGTAGAAATATATATCTAACTACACGAGATCAATAAACAGCTTTACCTGCTCATGACACTCATTGTTGTTCGCCCTCTGTATACATAATATTGCTGTCGGCAACCAACTTAAAGATTTAGATTGCTGTGACGAGGTAAAAGATGAACCTTGCTGGCTCAGTGGAAAGTAAACTAATACTATCCAGAAAGCAAGGTTGTTCATGCATGAGATGGTTAGATGATATACTTCAAGCAACAGACAAACGTGTTAATGATATTGAAGAACTTTTATCTAGTTGGCATTGTTGTACTCATGATGTAACCTCGAATGGACAGCATCTCATAGGCATTTAAAACTGTACTTATTGCATCAGTCATAAATAAAACTTGTTTGAACAGAAGAATCTTTATCAAACCCATTGTGTATTCAAATAGCATGGCTATACATACTGTAACCTTATAGGGACACTAAAGACAAAAATGACTTTTCTTATATCAGTAAATTATTTTTCACCGTACCAAAATCACCACACTTGCCACTAAAATGCGTTTCATAAGAGAGAAAACATGCAAAAATAAAATAGAGGTGGCAATGCCATTTTGAAGTTCCTGCAACAATTGTCATGGCATCATAGATTTTGACTGCATTTAATACGCCCTGTGTAGTTTCTAATCAGTAAAGATGTACATTGTCTAGGGGCCCATAGCATTAATATGGTCACGTGCTAGTAGCTCGAAGAAACGTACAAGGAGACGCGACTGCCAAAATCTCAGACACAAAAAAGGAAGTCTTCACTGGCACGGGTTGCTCGTCTTCGTCTTCTTCATTCACCGGCTCAGAACTGGCTCACTGTTTACTGGCACAGAATACCAGGTGGCATTACTCCTCCTCCCAAGAGAGCATCGACCCGATGTTCAAACAAAAGTGTGCACAGCAGTGGGTCGAAGTAGGCAACATAAACAAACATTAAACAAAGTAATGCACGAGAGAAAATGCATCCTGGGCCCGGCAGTCAGAAATAAATGGCATTCACAGTTCACATGAAGAGTTCACTGGCACACGAAGAAAATTCGCATCACTACGTAAAGTATGGTTTTAGGCGAACAACGTGTACAATTTCTGGGCGTGGCAACCTGCGCTGGGATGATGGTGAGCCTCCGCCTGGAACCACTTCGTAGTTCACGACTCTCACACGTCTGAGTACTTTGTAAGGTTGAAAGTACTTCCTCAAGAGTTTCTCACTGAGACCTCGCCGCCTGATGGGTGTCCAAACCCAAACTTGGTCACCAGGTTCATAATTAACTTCTCGATGGTGGACGTTGTACCGCCGTGCATGTGTGCACTATTTAGTTATGATGTGCATAAGGGCCAGTTCAGGTGCTTCCTCAGTGCGCTGAATGTACTCATTGATGTCGGGGGCTAAATGGTCGAGCTTGTTGATGTCCTTATACGGAATCATGGCGGAATCTAGCATAGTTCTCACATCTCGACTATAAACGAGCCAGAATGGCGTGAGGCATGTACTTTCCTGCGTTGCAGTGTTATACGCAAATGTTACGTACGGCAGGATGTTGTCCCACATTTTGTGCTGCACATCCACGTACATAGAGATCATGTCGGCTAGCGTTTTGTTTTGTTTAGCCTTTCTGTTAAACCATTACTCTGAGGGTGATACGCAGTGGTCTTTCGATGGTTTGTATAACTTAACCTGATGATATCATCCAAGAGCTTCACTGTGAATCATGTCTCTCGATCAGTGATGACATATGACTGGGCGCCATGCCGTAGCACAATTTGATGCATAAAAAAACTGGCAACTTCAGATGCGGTCCCTCGTGGCAATGCCTTCATCTCAGCGTAACGCTTCAAGTAATCGGTTGTGACAATAGTCCTATTTGTTGCCGGAAGAAGACAAAGGAAATGGGCCTAGGAGGTCCATTCCCACTTGATCAAACGGTGTACGTGGTGGAATCGATCAGTTGTAGATGGCCTGCAGGCATTAAGGGTGGTGCCTTGCGACGCTGACATTCACGGCATCTCTTCACGTAGCAGTTTGACACAGGCAGACATTTTAGGCCAGTAGTAGAGTTGTCGCACCCGATCCATAGTTCTCGAGTAGCTCAGATGGCCGGATGTGGGCTCGTCGTGGCAAGCTAATAAGATGTCATAGCGGAGGGCTTCAGGTACGACGAGAAGATGAGATCTGTCACCAGCACTGATGTTCTTTTTGTATAAGACCCCATATCGTAAGCAATATGATGGCAACGTTCGCGACATCGGACGAGGAATGGGCGCGGTGCCACCTTCTAAGTGATCTATAATCATTCTTAGATCGGCGACATTACATTGATGAGACATCAGATCCGGCTCGCTGAGAGTTGCCACGAAGGCACCATCCTCTTCTGCGCTTGTACTGGCAGATTGAAGAGGTGCTCATGATAGCGTGTCGGCATCTTCGTGCTTTTTGCCTGACTTGTACACGATGGTGACATCAAATTCCTGTAGGCGCAGACTCCATCGTACTAATCGTCCTGAAGGGTCTCGTAGATTGGTCAACCAGCACAAAGCATGATGGTCAGTCGCCACTGTAAATGGTCTTCCATAGAGATATGGCCTAAACTTTGTAATTGCCCAAATGACCGCGAGACATTCTTTCTCTGATGTGGAATAGTTAAATTCTACGCGAGACAGTGTGCGGCTTGCGTATGTCATTACCTGTTCAATGCCGTCTTGTCTTTGTACCAAATATCTCCAAGACCAATATTGCTGGCATCAGTGCGTACTTCTGTGTCAGCATCTTCATCGAAGTGGCTGAGCACGGGAGGGGAAGAGAGCTGGTGCTGTAGTTCCGCAAAGGCAGTCTGCTGTTTGTCAGCCCAGACAAATGGTGTGTCATCCCGCATGAGGCGTAATAGTGGCTCCGCAATGTTGGAGAAATTTTCAATAAAGCGCCAGGTAATACGCGCACAGACCCAGAGTGGCTGGGATCCGTGTAAGCTGTTGTGGCGTTTGTGGTCGCGAAAGTGACTAGACGTCGTCGAATGTCAATTATAGCACCATGCTCCCTGAGAAAATCTATGCCAATGATCAGGTCTCGAGAACCCTGCGGGAGAATGTTCAAACTGGCAACAAATGTACAACCGCGGGCTTGCAATCTTGCCGTGCACATACCAAGTGGCGTGATTATATGCCCGTCAGCTGTAAGAATTGGCGTTCAGATCCAAAGCATCGTTACTTTCTTCGGAAGGGCGGCCAGTTTTTTGCTAATTATGGAATAGTCCGCACCAGTGTCCACTAAAGCGATGACTTCGCAACCATCTAGCAGAACAGGAATATCTAAAGAAACTCTTCCGCAATCAGCCAGTGATGCCATTGTCGATGTATCGTCAGTATCTTCAGTCCGCGTCGAAAGGGGGCCTTAAGCATGACCAGTCTGAGCGGCCTTGCCCCCAAAAGTCGCTGAGGCTAGTTTTCCCGACGTGGGCTAGGTGACCGGCCCTGCGCCACGCCTGAATAGGTGTAATGATTCGGCAAGAACCGCCGCAGTGATGGAGAGCGTGAGTGGTGCCGAAATGTCGATCCGCGCTGCTGGGCAACATAGTCAGCAATTTCCGGAGGCCACTGGCCGAATTTAGGAGGTGGGGAGTTGGCCGAAAAACCACGAAGTCTCAGCTCTCGATAAGTGCTGTGTCGGTAGATGTGCCCAGGTTCGCCACAGTGATAGCAAAGAGGACTTCGATCGGAGGCCCGCCACACGTCTGATTTTCCGCTGAGGTACGGGCCCGCTTGGACTGCCTGAATCATGGCTGGGGCTGTGGTATAAGGCAGAGTGAAATGTGGTGCAGGTTGGCGCAGAATTTGGTCTGCCGAAAGCATGACAGGGGCCGCGATAGGAAGCAGAACCAAAGGTGGTGCTGGCTGGAGCAGAGT